GGTAATAATTGTTAATTCTGAGTGGGAATCACGACTTTTCAGACAAGGGAGTTGCTCCTTTTGTCAAGACCAGGGGTGCTATAGAAATAAACAGAATCTTCGAAACCCTAATCAAGTATTCCCAGACCTGAGTTTCTGGCATATTCACCTTGCTAAAATAACGTTTATTACCCTGGCGAAGGTATAGCAGAGCATCATCAATCGTGGTCACTGTCCGTGGATGGTTCACGAGTTGGTCAGTGCTTTTCAGGATTGGTCCGCTGGCAGGCTTCACCAACACGTGGCTGTCATGGGCCGTGTTGTTTCATAAGGCCGATCCTTGCTCAACTCTAGAACTCGGCCACCAGATAAGATGAAGATGTCCATTCGTGAAACCTTTCAAGTCCTCGTACTATCGAGGGCTAACACAGCCGCTGACGAAGGTGATCCTTTTCTTGGGTCAGGTATCCACTTGACTATTCAACAGCTGGACCATTCAGGTCAATCCATTCTACGGTCAACGATCCCTTGCGAACGATCGTCGTTGGCAGAAAACCTTCCTGATAAGCTCTTCATTGGAGTCTGACACCCCAAGATGCATGTTGACGGGGATTTTCTCGCCATCTTCGCTGATACCGTTACCGTTAACCAAACTGAACATCGATGGCTTAAAACGTTCCTGATTTACCTCTTGATCGTACCCTGTAATCTCGTCAGATTCATGTCCGCTCCGCCCGACCTGTCTGTGCTCCATCATCAGTGCGACACCACGACAGGGTTAGGAGCACAGATTAACAGCGTTCCTCGTCTGAGCAATCAAAATAGACCAGAGCCCTAGCTCGTTGTGACTCGAGCTCGGACAATGAATCACAAATTAGAAACCCGAAACATCGGAGCCAGCGGGCTCGAAAACAAGTTTGCTGAGGTGCCGTGACCCTTGTCAACATCGGCATTCGTATCTTCACTTCAAGGGTTATCGGCGTGTTCCTGTTGGTCCAGCATCAGGAGACTCGCAATGGCATCCCAGTCCCAGAGTTGCGGGAATCTGCGCCCAGCCGTCCAGTAATCACCCGTCACCCGATGCTCCCGAGATATGTCTCCGCATTGTTGCCGTTTGCTGTCATCTGCATTTCTATTGCAGAAGGGAGCCCGCAGAGTGGAAGCAAAAAGCTGTTGGTACCCAGACGAGTGAGCATTGATGGCCCGGTGGTTTTCCTAGATCCCAGTCAGGGCCAATCGCTTGATCAAGCCACAGCGCTTCTTGACAGCCAAAGGAGAGAAAAAAAACTCCGTCAGAGCTCCTGTCTGACTGCATGATGCAGGTACAGTATATGCACGGGACTCAACGTTCATACTCCTCATGCGCCGACCGTTGGTAGGATAGTGATGTATGTTCGGTCAACTCTTTCAGCAATGTCGATCATTGACTCGCTGGGATCTTGTACAGAGCCATCGTGATAAGAAAACTATATACTACAGTAGCGCTGAACAGGCGCATTAAGCACCGTCTAGGCTTGGTCGCTGTCTTGCCCTCTTGGTTACACTATGATGACTTCATAATACATTCAAGACATGTAGATGAGATTGCAGGATCTCAGGTGCTCAAACTACCGAATGCACCAATCCTTGAGACAGCGTCCTGCAGCCAACTAAACGTCCTGTATGAAGCCCTCGTACATCCTGTGTCTATCGCGTACGACATCGATTGACCACCACTAAGCAGTCCAGCCAATTCAGCCAGCCCAGCCACGCAATTCTACCTGCTCCGCCAAGGCACATTTAAATCCAGGCGACGATTGATAGACACAGGCGGCTTATGCATGCATCGAAGACAGTTGACGAAAGAAACAAGCTGCAGATGCTAAAATAACCAACATTTTTACAAGGTGACGGGGATACAGGTATTGCGAGTATTTGGTTCGGCAACCCCACGTTCGATAGGCGCATCTTCGGTCCTTCGAGACCTGTCTTTCAACGCCTATCGCAACAGCTCTTTCGACACTACAGGTGAAGAGATGGACTAGTCGCAGGTGTGGCTAACTCGAGACACCACGAACGGCATGCATATAAGCTACTCTCTAGTCGTCTACCGTCATCGTGCGGTTTAACTTGCCGCACCACAGACTAGCCCCCCTTTCAACGTGCACCTCCCAGCTGAATAGCGAGTGGCGCTTATCAGAGAGCAGTAGCTCTGCGGAAAGCTTAGCATCCGCTCCAAGCGTTCCTAACTACGCGGCCGACGAGCTATATGGTGTGTCTCAGACTAGCAATCTTGGCCTCTGTGAGTCTCCTTTTCCGGAGTGAGGATGGAAGGGAGTGTAGCATCCTGATTTGACAACTATTCGGGAACCAACCCCTCTTTTCGACTTACGTCTAGGACATGTTAAGGGGACTGAGTAGTATTCATGAGCGTGCTGTGTATAGAAGGTTATGGAGACGAGCGAACTGGAGCTCACCGATCGAAGTGAGGACCACACTTGCCCCGGATCCAAGACCAGGTCAAGCGGATGCGGGAACTCCCGCGCCTCCGCCGTATCTTCGGGACCAACCCCTTACTCTACCGGGACCATCAACCGATCGACATCTGGTCCCCACCCACCGTTCACCCCTTCCACCGTGATCGTGTTGCTGCTACCGCTGTTGAGCTTCACATTCAATACGCTGCTCGCAGGGTCTGCTCCATTCGGCAAGAACGCCAACCTCGTTTTCTGTCCGCCGTTGACAGTGACGTCTGCATATCTCGGTTTGCTATCTCCATTCATGAACTTTACCCTGATGGTAGTCAACACGTCCTTGTTGCTCTTGACTCCGCTAATGGTCAGCTTCCCCTGGTCGCTTCCGCCGATGTACCCGGCCGCCTTGGAGCCCGAACAGCCGCTGCAGCTCACGTCTTTGGCCGCAGCCGCGTAGGTTCCCTTCTCGCCCTCGTAGCTGCCTTCTTCCGGAGGGCCAGACCAGGCTCCGCCGACGTTTGGCACCCAGCTCACGTAGTTCTTCATGGTGACGCTTGTGCCGTCGATCTTGAGCGGTAGCCAAACGAACGTGCTGGCGATCAGGTTCTTGGATACCCATCGATCGCCCATATACATTACGTTTCCGTTGCCGTAGTCAAGCACGTAATGCGTCTGAGATGAATATGTGTTTGACCCTTTGTCTGCGAAGGTTGCCCATGAGCTCCAGCCCGAGCTCAGGGAAGTCGAGGTGCTGTAGACGTTGTCGTTAGGATCCCAGCCTGTTAGCTTGGAGCCGAACATATAGTATCGTCCGTTGTATTTGAGCATGGCAGGGGCTTCTATGTGGTCCTTCCACAGGTATGTGGAGGATGTTCCAGAAATATCAGTGTAGTCAGCCGTCAATTTGTTAATACGCAGACCGTTTTCACGCTGAAGCCAGTGGTCAGTGGGTGTAGTGCAAGACGTTTGGATGTGAAGGTCATACATCTTCGGTCAAGAGGTATCCCGTTCCATCGTCATCTTTGAAGAGGCCCATATCGCGACTTTGGTAGCCCAACGGTCTGAAACTCCGCAAGTACGCTGTGATATACACCCCTTTTAGTAGCGTCCCTTAAGAGCGCTTCGAGAAACGGGTCTCGCTTACTATACTTTCCACAAACGCTATCGCCAGTAGCGACACCGACCTTTGCATCGCCGTAGTTGCTACTGTCTGCATGAAACCAAAGCACATATTTACCAGTCTTATCATTGAACAAGACCTTAGGCCTCTCAACAATGCGGTTTGGCCCCAGGTCGCCACTACTAGTTCGCGAAAGCAGGGCGCCGACGTACTTCCATTGTACGAGATCAGTGCTCGCATAGCAGTTGACGTTCTGGAATGCAGAGCCTCCTGTCTTGTCCTCCCCAATGAGATAGAATGTGCCGTTGACGCGGGTCACGCCTGCGCCATGTGCTTGGATATGTTCGCCGTTGTCCTGGAATCCCCTTAGAAGCTAGTATTATCAGCAGAATTAGACTAGTTCAGTAGACATACGGCTGTCCATGTACCTCCGGGTACTATCTGAAGACTGCCTAGAGCAGGCGTGATAGCGCATGCTAGAAACGCCAATAATGATATGTGCCGAAGTAGGGATAGCATCGTCGCCAACTTTCAGATGAAAAGAGGTAAAATTGACAGGGTAGGCCGCAAGGGTCGACTCAGAGGCAAGTTACTACTATCCATGATTTATATAACCATATGTGGGGATACTTAAGGTGTTCCCTCGCGGGGAGAAGATCGCGGGTATTCAGCCGTTTAAATGACCTGATATTACCATCCGGTAGGGGTTTCCGCATAATCCGTAGTCTCTTTCCGTTGTATAGATCTCGGCTTGTAACCGAAAATGGAAGACAGGTTTCGCTAGTTAATGCACCTCAATTGCTTTGAGTATTCGGAATTGAAGTCCTCGATTCCCCACGTATAATATAAGACAACTTGTAGGAGACCGTCTACGGTAACTACTGTAATGGACAAAACTGGGCTCCTAGAATGACATGAACTAACTCGTGCTTAGACACAGTACAAGAACATCCCAAATCATTAACTCAAGATAGGAAATTCAGAGATATTGGAACCAGTTATATAGCGCGCGAAACTAGGAATTGCAAGTCTGATTGAGTCTGTCAAGAACTAATACGTAATGCCTCTCACTATCCAAGGAGTTAAAAGATATAATTTAACTTCCAAGTATAAAGACATAATTAATTGTCTTCCGAATTCTCAATCCAAACCTACTCAGCCATAGTTGCTGTTAACAGGTTGACAGACTAAACTTGAAATCTAAGCTCGATAACCCACATCGCTCGAAGGCTGTCAAGTCAAAAATGTATCTCCTTCCGTCAGCGACTGAGTTTGATGGACGCGATGTTATAGTTGCTATTGGGTTGAACACTTCACCTCCTGAGTCTATTGCGTCCTCTTTTTCAGATAGAAATGTCTTTTCGCCTATTCCACAAGATCTTGTCTCTCTATCCAGTGTCAGTGTTCCTACAGGGTGGCCCCGTTCAAGAGAGGTCTGCCTATCGTGAAAGGGGAGCAAGCCGCAACTGCTAGCTTCAGCCACTGTCAAAGCCGCATGTAATCATCAATGGACGACTCGTTCATGCTGCCACACCTTTAAGGGCTCAAAAGGGCAAGACCTTTTTCTTCAACTTATCCCACAAAGTTTTCTCAAGCCCATCTCCTTCTGTTACCTTTCTCTCCATATTGAACTTGAACGACTTGGACAACTGGACAGAAACAGCTTCAGGCCGGCCAACATCATGCCTCGCCGCCAGAGGGACCCTGATGACGACGACGGTGACGATGGAGTCAATGGACCACCGTCGACCAGAACCCGTCGCGTCCGCCTGGACACTCATGCCGAGGGTGGAGCAGACGATTCAAATCAGGATGCAACAGCCGAGACTGGCGAGGGTCCTACAAGCGCTCCTCCCATGAATGGTAACGTATCCGAACGCGCCCACGAGCTGGGGCAGATGTTAAACATGGTGTCACCTCGCCAATCTTCTCAGAATACCAATCGTGTTTTGCGTGCTCCTCGACCACAGCAGATGGTGAACGGCCTTGGGTCTTCTCCTCAGGCGCGTCAGGATACCAACGGTTTTGTGCCGGCCAGTCGACCACAGCAGTTGGTAAACGGCGTCGCACTTCCCCAGCTGCGTGAGGATACCAACGGTTCGCTGCCCGCGCGTCGACCACGCCAACTGGTCAACGGCACCGCACTATTCCTCCGGCCGCGTCGAAATTTCAACAATATTCTGCGTCCTCCTCGATCGCAGCGGATGGTAAACGGTATTCACTCATCTCCTCTGCCTCGAAATACTTTGTTGCTTCCTCCTGGATCAGAGCAGATGGTCAACGGCGGGTTGCCTTCCCCTCGACCACAGCAAATGGTCAACGGAATCTCATCACCTCCTCTACTGCGCCAGAATATCAACGGTTTCCTGCCTGTTATGCAGCCACAGCAGGGAGAGCAACCTGTTGCTCCGATGCTCCCAGGACCCGACAGTGCTTTGCCTCCTCTTCAATCTCAGCCGATGGTCAACGGCAATATGGGTCCTCCACAACCACTCACAAACGGCAACAACCCATTGCGCCGCCCTCAGCAGCGGCAAGCGGTCAACGGCAGATCATCTGCTTTTCTACCACAACAGATGGGTAACGTCCCGTTGCCTCCCGGTCCTCCGAGCCAGAACGACATCAATGTCCTGATGACTCCTGAACTGCATCTCAACGTTCATAACCTACGCACTCCTCAAGTCAGCTTGCTCCCCAGAGGACCCAGCCCGCCTCCTGGTCGCGGTCCCCTTCCCCAACCATTGCACAGCCGACAACCTGCACGATCGCTCTGGAGAATCGAGCGGATTCCTCCCAGAGAGCATATTCGGATTGAAACGCAGCTGAGACAAGAGATACTCTATATTGACAACATTGAAGGATACTTCTGGTATTGGCCCAGGGCCATGGGACCGCATCCACACTTCAACGACCTCAGAAACAGTCTTGAAGAGCTTGAAGTTTCCGAACAGTAAGAAGAAAAGGGACAAAGACAAAACTGGGGGCTTACTTGCTAACATACTCCCAAAAGGTCTGCAAATGTTCTTGAACAGTTGGCGCCATGGGGCCAGGCTTGCTCGTAAGTAGTGATCCTCTGACATGTATTTCCCCGAGGATGTCCCTATTGTGTTTGACAAAGACAGGGTGCTAAGCAACGGGGGCTAATCTAATGACAGAATGTTTTTCAATGCCGATTTCGAATCTCTCCAGGTCGCCGCAGCCTTCTTCTGGTGGCAACACGTCTGGTTTCACACAGGCAAGTGCCTTATTGCCGAGGGCAACAGATTCGAGACGTTCCATCATGACTCTCGACTGTACTTCCGCACCATTCTGTCATCCGGCAGTCGACAGCAGATCAGCCACATGCGTGAGCAGCAGGCTCTCAGCATGTTCGATACCGTCGCAGACGCCATCTGGAGCACGTCTACTGAAGGTGAGCGAACTTGACAGCTGAACAAATTAATGAAGTACATTCTGACACAATTAAGTACAACGACTGCAGTTTCTCAGCTGCATGGACGAGTATTGCGCTCTTGTCTACAGAGAGCAGATGATTGTCAAGAATGGAAGGGTTCCCAACTCTAACGAGTATCATCGCCTTCGAGTGGACAACGGACACGTGAAGATCCTGATTGAGGTGTTGCGGTAAGCTGTTCCATTGATCTTGCAAAGTAACAATGCAAAAGCTCATATCGATAGGATTGTCATGGCCTTGCCTATTAACCCTGCGGTATCAACCTCTGCCGAGTGGGAGGTGATCTTGAACAGCCTGGGCATGGCCATGTCCTAGTACGTGCTTCGGGTCAATCCAATCTCTTGTTATAGATGCTAACTTGTATGCTAGCATGCGAGATCTTTACTTCTTGAAGCGAGACCTGGTATTTAACCCATTTGTACAGTCATTCATAAGCGATCACACGTACTCACTCGATTTTAGGATGCCAACGTATGGACTTGCAATGCTGTCATGATCAAATACAGAGAGACTGGCGAGGGCATGGATGAGAGCGTCAAGCGCGTCGTCGAGGATATTAGCCAGTCAATGGCCACGATCAATCGAGCGGGATTACAGCTACATGCGCGTCTTGTGCACAACGCAGCCATGGCTGCCCACTTGAGTAGGGTCCTCGACAGCTTGCGTATGATGCTCAGTGGATACTGGCTTTGGTGGTAAGTAACTGATGGAGGACGGGTTTACGAGATTTCCTGTTGCTGAGCTGACGGCTTCTCAAACAGCACAATAGCGCCGTTGAATGCAATCCAGGAGAAGTATAGACTGGACAATGGAGATGTGGAGATACCCTTGGCGATGGATGAGGAAGACGAGGACTCGGAGGAAGAGGATTCGCAGGACGGCGACCAGCAGGATGGTGACTGGCAGGAGGACGACCAGTAGGAGAAGAACTCGCGCGAAGAGCGTCAAGACAGGATTTCAGCCATGGAAACCAGCAGGACATACTTGCGATAAGCATGCGTTGCTTTGGCCCGCTGCGTTTCCATTTGGCAGGGATATTGCTGGATAGATCTCTGATTTGGGGGTTTCTCTCTCTTTTTCTTTCTCTCTGAATAGGTAGGTGGTTCGTTTTGATGGAAGTGAGCTCTGAGCTTCAGCTGAAATTTGTCCGCGGAGCATTTATGAGAGTCAGCGTCGTTGTTACACGCTGTACCAGACTCTCATAAAGCTTGGGCGCTCTTTCCGCTACACACTTTCAACTTTTTATAGTTTTCGGTCAAAAGCTCGCTCGGATAACCTTGAGTCTAATTGATTTCCTCTGTCAACATCTTCAAGTTTTTTTCCTGCTCTCGGAGCCCACGGGAACTGAGATAAGCTGACCGGTCAGGCCGCTGAGTCCGTAAAGTTCGTAGGGAGCTTCTTAAGGCATGTAGCCAATCTCTGGGCTTGTACCACCCAAAGTTACATTATTCTATTTTCGTGAAAGCCTACAATGCTCCTATCCCGTACCCGCAAATGTACGACGTCCTGATGCATTCATTGCCTTATATAATACAGATCCCGCCTTCTTTACTGAACACTCAGACGGACGTCTCATCCTTTTTAACATCCGCAGAGCGGGCCGAGGTCTCGCCGGCCTCCTTCTCTACGTCCCTCTCCACCATTGTCTTCTCCTCGTCTGTTCCCGATGGCCCTCCTTCAACCTCGTGGTCGAAGAAACCATCGCCATTGGCAGCTTGAGCCGCAGCCTCCCTTTCTTGTTCCTTCTGCGCCCTGGCCTGTGCTTTCGCTCTCTTCTTGTCGTTCTTCTCCTGCTCTGCTCGCATTTGGCGAATCACCCTGCTCTTCGACCGGATCTTCTCACCATATCGGTAAAAGACGAAGGGAATGGGCACGAGGCAGACCTCCAACAGGCCAAGCAGTGTGCCTGCCCACTGGGGCGTCAACTTCGCATACATGCTCGGTCCGGCCAGCGGCAAGGTCCCGCCGAAGAAGGATCTCATGACAGCGTTACCGGCAAGTGCAGACGCCGCATAGTATCCATAGGCTCCTGCCAGATAGTTTGAGCCGTAGATGAAGGACAATGTATTCTGAATGCATCAGTCAGCAACTCTTTCGCAGGATGGCAAGTGCCGGAAAGAAACTCACCCCAGCGCCAAATGGGATGCCAAAAATGATGGGAATCGACCAGTGAATGGTCGTCGGGAGGCACGTCCAGGAGAAGACGAGCTGGCCGATGGGAGTCAGAACAGCGCCGATGCTCATAACACTGGCTGACGCTTCTGGTCGCACACGCCCGGTTGCTGGGTCTTTGGGATGCGAGTTGATCAGTCGTCGCAGAAGGGGCTCAGCGAATATAGCGAGCATGGTTCCAATTCCAATGCCCACGAAAGCGAGACCCGAAATGCCTGGCCCCCACCCTCTGTGCTGAGAGAAGACGATCGGATATGCAACGAAGCAGAGATACCTGAATAACAAGTTAGCACGACAACAAGCTGATTTCTTTTATTTAGTATCCTCACAAGATGCCATAGATCAAGGAAATCCTGTTCGAATCTGTCAGCATGTGCAAACATCATATTGATCGAAAGAAGTCTCACCAGATGTTGAAGAACCACAAGATCGGCTCCGTGAAGCTCAATATGAAGGGGCGGCTCAGGTTGATCTTTAGCAGATTCAGCGTCGACACCTTCTGATCGTAGCTGCACCACCACCGATCATCATCAGTCTCCTTTCTCCGCTTAGCCGCCATCCGCTGTAATATCGTTGGGGCGTACGTCTCCTTCACGGTCGCTAACAGGAAAATAGAAACACCGGCGATGATCATAACCAGCCAGTTGTCCCATCGCCAGCCAAGATACTGGTAGACGAAACCGCCGATGAGAGGGCCAGTGACCGGACCGTTCAGTGGTGCAATACTCCAAAGAGACATGCACAAAGCGCGGTACTCGTCGTCAGAAATGTCTACAATTGTGCCAGGCGAATTGGAAACCATTGCAGCCCCGAACACAGCGCTAATTGTTGGTTAGGAAAGACTTCGATCTAGTGTTATCAAGACCTGAAACTCACCCGAAGAATCGCACAACCAAAATCTCCGTGAGAGAGGTAGCTAGGGCGGTTGGGAGGATCAACAACATGAAGATCGTTTGACACACGAGAAACACGTTCCTTCGTCCGTACAGTTCACTCATCGGTGCCACAACTAGACTTCCGCAAGCAAGACCTAGCAGATATGTCGTGATACCTAGAGTCGCAACGGTCTGGCTTGGCTCATTGAAGGCTATCATAAGACCGGGAATTGATGCCGTGTAACTCGTGCTATACAACACAACCACCCAAGTCGAGAACGACACACAAAAGATAATCCATCCTCGGTACCAAATAGGCCAGTTTTTGGGGTTGTTTGGATCATCTGGTTCAAACACGACCTCGAAGTCTGGTTGCCTCGACGCGGAGCTTGTGATGCTTGTAGCACCGGTACGAGTCCGCGATATGGGTTCTCGTGCGGCACGTTCAAAAGGTGTCTCCTGATCCGGAGTCAATGCTCTTTCCAGTGCCTCATACGGATCTGAGTCATTGGAGTGAGTTGATATCCGCCGGCTGTGCCGACTTCCCCGACTGTGAGACTTTCCCAGAGATGGACGATGAGGAGCTTCATGCTCGGCCTCGATCTCTTTGTCAACTACAGGGCTTTCTATGTCCTCATTGCGGTACGCATCCTTTTCGGGGTCGTGAGACTCGGCCATGGCTCCCAGCTCCCGTTGTTGTGCTTTTCAGGAGCGGGATCGGAGCCGGCTTGGCGCTCCAATTGATGACGGTAGAGCGTTCCCTCCCGCCGACAGAGGTTCAAACACACACGAAGGGACGGCGTGCAAGACAACTAAATAGAGCACACGAAGTCGGCGTAACGGAGACCTGGTCTAGCTGGACTCTTGGCTTGCATACACAGTCAAGAGTGGGAAGGGGGAAGACTAGAAAAACAGATTTGCGCCATGATAAACGCCGATACTGGGTTATTAACGGCGAAACGGGCAGGCGGGTCCAACTTGCCGAACATAACGCGGGCCTAGCCTGGACATAAGTGGATATATCGGCCGACGTTGAAAGGGACCCCAAATGCTATCTGCTTCCTTATCACACACACAAACACACACACAACACAGTGACTCAATTGAGTGAGTGGATTAGCGGATCGGAAACCTTGCCTGCTCTCTCTGCACAAAACCAGCAGCTGGGGCTTTGCCTTGCAGCTAGCCTGCATATGATGCGCACACTTGCACATATCATGCCCCAGATGGCGTGCGCTTCCGAGCCGGCTTGGCAAATCCGAATGGAGAGCCTCCACCCTCCCTACCTAAATTCTGGGAGCTACTCAGCCCAAAACATAACAGTCGGGCACGATGAGAATGTCAGGACAACGTGTCATTCAAGCCACTTTCTTGGGTGTTTAGATGCCTATGACATCTGAAGGCATATTTGAGGGAAGGCTACATCGAGGTGATTACAAAGCAAAGTCACCAGTCGCCCTATCGCATGTTTTAAGGGGGTGATAGGCGGTTGGTTGGTGGGGGAGTAGCGGGTGGTTGGTTGCCAGACGATCCTGTGCCCAAGGGTGGAGAAGGCCAGTACGGCGCGGCAGAATAGAAGTGGGTGCCGAGGTCGTCGACGGCGCAACGGCATATCGGGTCTTGGCCGCCCTGCATCCGGGGCAAAACTACGCAACCTCGACCTGGAAAGAGACCTCCAATGCGGTGATATAACGCGCCGCCGTGGGATTTGCCTTGGCTGCTAGGTACGTAAAAGAGAGCTTAATTCTCACCCACAGTAGTCCTGTGACGACACACATCGGCAGCTGGATGGCGTGCGAACGACCGGCGGTGTGCTGTGTGCAGCGGGGTTTCCGTCACCCACATACACTCGTTTGAGGGTCTGGAAACGGTAATCTTTCCGCTCTGTGCGTAAGCTGATCGACAGCCCGGCCAATGTTCGGCTCCGAAAGGCTTGTATCGGGTCGGATGAGGTTCCGCACTCTCAACACTCGCATAGATGTTTCCAAGGCTGATTTTAGCTGGAAATCTGTCGCGAGATATAGTTGATCCTGCTGACCACGTGGAGTTTCATCGGACCTTTTGGAAAGCGAATTCGCTTTCCTTGATTCTCCTTAATGTGTGATACCCTCTTATATGAGCCAGCTAGGAGTGTTCAACCATCAAGTCTCTTCGGAAAACTTACCATTCAGGTGCTTGCAGATTTAAAGTCAATTCAATGCGGCGAAATAGGCTACTTCCTGAAACAATCCACAAGACATGAATTAACCAAAGGTCGCCGGGCTTTTGAGCACAGTTTTGGGCATCTCAAGGGAAGCCTCTCAGGAAGTAGGCCTCGGCCAGTGATGACTTCTTGTACTCAATTTCTAACGGTCCTTGCGATGCCGAATTCAGTGGTTTACCGGGTGGGTTTGCGTGTAGCTTCGCAACCATAACGATGACTAGCCAAGATCATGGTCTGGACCGCCGAAGGCTCGAGAGTGCGCACTTCGTAAAAGATGTTGACGATATGAACATTGACCCTTTTTAAAGTTTCGTGTTTCGCGGCATAGCATCAACGAGGCATGCCAACTCTTTGAGGTTGTTGAACTCTTGATCCCTCAGAAAGGCGCATTGACAACTCGTGTATCGAAAGTTAGCAAGTAGAGTTTCGAAGAGACGAAGGTAACCGTATTTGGCGATGCTGAAAATGTATGAAGGAACGAGCTTGTGCGGTTCGCGACTTGTAGTCGCAGGAGCATTGAGCGGAATCATGGAATGAAAACCGGGGGCAAGCCTGCCCTCCGTGAGTACGGCCGACGGTGAGACGTTGTAGGCTCCGCGTCCATGAAGCCGACGGTGCAGGTTGCCGGTAGGCATATGCCCGGGCCGAAGCTCAGTGGTGAATGATTCAACCTGTCGGAGACCGTTGTCAATAGTTGTCCGCGCCTCTTCTGGGAAGCGCCTGCAGAACAAGACTGCCGCAAAGCCTACATCTGCGAGTTGACGGTCTAGCAGGTCTTTTCCCACGTGCGGTCACAGATCCGCTGCACGTGTTGAGAGTAGTAGAGACCAAGCCAGCGCCATTGGAGAATGCGCATGTGCTAAGCACGATGGCAAAATGCGCATCCAGACTGCTGGAAATCGAGATCATTTCCGTGGATGGAGCCATGCACTAGGTCGCAATTCGACTTTCTGGGGGGATCAGGCGCTATCGACAAATAGTGCGCGGGATACTGGGTTTAGTAGGACCGATCTTGGCAGGCCGGCGGCACAGTTCAGAGCTGAGGAATCTGACTGCCAGCGTCTAGTGTACTAGAGATACGCTGTGGCTGAAGTAGCATGAGGATGCATCGTCTCCTAACGTTACTTTGGTTCACCTACGATCAAAGTCTTTCCGTCAATGAGGCCATTGGTAGCACTCGAGATGCGGGGACGAAGACCCCTTCCCTTCTGCATCGTCCATCCGGCTCGCTCCTGCATTGACCTGGCTCATGCGATGCCGCTGTCAGAGTTCGGTCCGGTACGGGGTAGCACCTTGCATTACCTAAAAGACAGTGGACGAACGACGGGTGAATTGGATGGATTGGGTTGCTCGCATTCCAGGTTCAAGGTTAAACAGGGTCGGGAATTTAGCTGACTGGTTCGCATCTGACCCTGGCTCGCCTGGTTCTCGCCTGAGCAGCGTATAGCTAGGGGTTCACCGTGCCGCCCTGCCGATGAGGACAGGAGGCACAGGAAGGGCAAGGGAGGATTTCTCCAGAGGGGTCTAGACGGCAGAATAGACCCTCGAGAATGGATGGAAACCGCTTCGGAAGCACCAGCTCCCCCTGGCAGGTGGGCCCCCTCAAGCTTAGGGACCCTGGCCTACTTTAAACATCCTTAGAGCGTTCGTATTTGCTGCTGGTTGGGGTTTCTGGCAATCTGGCATTAGTTCTAGACGACTTAAATCGTGGGCATCTTTCCTTTCTGAGGACGGGCCACTCAGCTTCAGCTAACAGATACGCCCTGATGGTTAGGAGTCATTCGCTGCCGCGGGACAGAGTGGCCACCTCGTTCATTTCGTCGGCCCTGATGAGACAGCATCTGGCGGCACAGTCTCAGAGGCTGTCGTTCGTCGGTCGAATTGCCGGGGGCGGCGGGCGTCAGGTTCGGTGCTGGCTGGTTGGTTCGCTGGTGGACTGGAGGGATGGCACTGTAGGTACATACGGTAAGGTAGTTAATTATTATCGACCTTAATATCCTACTTGCCCTTGTGAGACAAAAGCCTTGACTGCCAAGACCCCATTACAGCCGTAGTAGCATCAGACGCTGCTTGGCGTTTTCGATAGTCTTTGCTGGCCTTTTCGTTACTTCCCTCACCCATTCATTCATCATGCTCTGCTACGGGTACGGCAGGTGCCTTCTGTCTGTCTGGGTGGCCCCTTCCCTTGTCCAGTCCCGTCGCTACTGCTCCTTGAAGAGCCAAAAAGTGACAAGAGCTTAGACAACTACCTACCATAAGCTTTGCCGCCATGCTGGTCAACTCCATATTCTAGCCATCCCTTCGCATTGCCATTTTGCACCTCTTTTCTCCTTGTCCTTTCGCAATTTATTCTCTGTATACCTTATTTACTTACTGTCAGAAGGGGTGGAACGCATTAGCCGCATAGAGAGAATTTACTGGCAATGGTCATGCAATAGCCGTGGTTGTCAGACGTCTCGAGCAAAACCTCCCCTCCTCGGCGTCGTGCAAGGCCAGCGCACGCGACCACCGACTCCCTCGGCCTAGGCCGACTGCCAGTCGCGGTCCCAGGCGACGACACAAGCCGTGACCACCTGAGCTCGGCCGCCAGCAGTCGCAATGTTGCGTTTTAGGAGATACCGTCTCTTTGTCATCTGCTCCGTCGTCATCCTCTTCCTGCTCTATAGGGTCTCCCAGAACTCAGCATGGGACGCCCCAGCTCTATATGGGCCCCAACCGCAGTCGCAGCCAAAGCCAAACCCAGATTATCAACGGGTTGAAAAGCCCGAGAAGGTTGACAAGCCAGAGAAACCGGCGCCGGAGCCCGAAGCTGTCGAAGAAGATGCAGCCCCTCCCGCACCACCAATTCCCAAGCCGGTAAAAGAGCAGACTGTCAAGATACCAGACTTGAAGACGAGCCTCGAAGTTAAGGGAAGCTTCGGCTTGCCAACGCCCACCAAGAAGCCCGCAGCTGGCGCCGTTGAGACCTCCGAGGCCGAGCTCACTACGCCAGTGATCATCGATATCCCTGATCGAGTGCCAGGAAAGGTGGATGACATATATGGCAGCAAGGATGACGAGGAGCTGCACATCCAGAAGCCCCCTGGGGCATACCAGGGCCAGTCCATTGCGGCGGAGACTACAATACATTGGAAGAAGGTCCCAGAGCACTTCCCAGTTGCGGAGGAGTCCATCATCCCGCTTCCCACTGGAAAGCCCAAGCCTATACCTTCTGTCCAGTACAAGTTTGCCGAGGAGTCTTCTGTCGCCAAGGAAAAGCGGGAGACTCGACTGGCGCAGGTCAAGGCTGCCATGAAACGTGCCTGGTCTGGATACTGGACATATGCGAAGGGCCACGACGAGCTCATGCCCATCACAAAGATTGCTCGAGATCCATTCTGTGGTTGGGCAGCTACACTAGTTGACTCTCTGGACACTTTGTGGATCATGGAGATGAAGGAAGAATTCGAGGCCGCCTATGTTGCTTTGAGCGATATCGATTTCACCACTACACCTTTCCGTCAGGACATCCCTGTATTCGAGACTATTATTCGATATCTGGGTGGTTTGATCGCCGCTTACGACGTGACTGGCGGGAAAGAAGGCAAACATCCGAATCTTTTGAAGAAGGCGGAAGAGCTTGCAGAGATCCTCATGGGCGTATTTGATACACCGAACCGCATGCCCATTTTGTACTACAATTGGAAGCCAGCATATGCCTCTCAACCGCAACGTGCATCTACGAGCGTAAGCGTTGCGGAGCTCGGATCCATGTCTATGGAGTTCACGAGACTAGCGCAGCTGACCGGGGAAAACAAGTATTATGATGCAATTGCGCGCATCACCGATGCGTTCTACGAGTGGCAGAACAGGCCGGATGGCACAACTCTGCCTGGGTTGTTCCCCCAGCAGATCGATGCATCTGGATGTAATCGAACTGCCCCGGCATTCGATCCGCTTGCCATAAGCAGCGATGCTGTAAGGGAAAATGCCGCGGAAGCACTCACGACAGAGCCACAAGGATACACCCCCGCTGGCCAGATTGCAGATGCGGATCTGGAGTTCCAAGTGAAAGAAGGTGAAGATGGGGGCCCTGCTAAAGGCGAGTTTAAGAAGATCGGAAAGAGAGCCGATGAAAGTGATCTCGGTGCGCCTGTGGAAACAAAGAGTACCTCAACGGCTGCAAGCTCAGTCGAAACTGTTCCTGAAGCTCCAAGACCGGGCAGCTTCCGTGGCGACGGTTTGACACCCAAAGGTGCCAACGGTCTTCCGGCAGGTTGGGACTGCGTGCCGCAAAACCTGACGTCTGGCGGTTATGGCTATGACCAGTACAGCATGGGTGGTAGCCAAGACTCAGCTTACGAGTACTTCCCGAAGCAACACCTGCTTTTGGGTGGTCTTGAGCCGAAATATAGGTCGATGCACGAGAAGACTGTCGACGCTGTAAAGAAACACCTTCTTTACCAACCAATGACGAAGGATGATCGGGACATTCTCTTCTCAGGAAAAGTCTATGGTCGAGGCAACTCGGACGCGGATCTTAGTATGGATTTTGAAGTGACCCATTTGACGTGCTTCCTGGGTGGAATGTTTGGCCTTGGAGGCAAGATCTTTGATCGCCCCGAAGATGTCGAGATCGGAAAGAAACTAGCCGATGGCTGTGTATGGGCCTACGAGATGATGCCTACGGGTATTATGCCTGAAACCTCGATGGTTGCACCTTGCCCCAGAGTTGGTAAATGCCATTGGAACGAAACTCGGTATTATGAGCTTCTAGACCCAAGCTATCAGTGGAGACTCCAGCAAATGGAGCAGTGGGAAGACAACATGGAGGACTGGAAGATTGAGAAAGAAAGAGCCCTCGTTCTCGAGGAAGAGAGGCAGCGGGCTTTGGAGGAACAATCAAGGCGGCCTCACAACTTGACTGCAGCCGAGAGACTCGAGAAAGATACAGAAGAACCTAGTCTTCGTGACATCGAGATAATGGCAAGCGATTTGACTGAAGCCGCTAAGGCAAACAAGGCGAAGTCAAGCGCACCTGTTGGAAAGCGGGATGTTGACGACGGCGCGACGAATCCGGCATCAGACTCTGTCTTTGAGAAGGAGAGAAAGAAGGTCGAGCTTCCCGAACCTGATATTAAAGGAGACTGGAATGCCATTGATGAGAAGGTGAAGAAACTTGAGGAGGAGCTGGATATGAACGCAGGTCCCGATCGGGGCTCATATGGCGGCCAGAATGGACAAGTACCTATTTCAGAGGAGCCTATTTACATCCCGCCTGAGCCGATCAAGCCCCTAAGCCATGAAGAATACGTCAAAGGCCGCATTGAAAGAGACAACATACCACCCGGGTTCGTCAGCCTCAATGACCCCCGATACATTCTAAGGTAAACTTGCAATGACGTTGTCCCTGAGATATTTTGCATTTGAAGCTAATGAATTGGATAGACCTGAGGCCATTGAGTCGGTCTGGTACATGTATCGCATCACTGGCGATCCGGAATGGCAAGAGAAGGGCTGGCGCATGTTTACTTCCATCATCAAATGGACAGAGACCGATGTTGGTCACAGCGCTATCGCCAACGTGGCGAAGATCCCAGAGGAGCGTGACAACAACATGGTCGATAATATGGAGAGCTTCTGGCTGGCTGAGACTCTGAAGTATTTCTACCTACTTTACACAACACCTGACGTGATCAGTCTCGATGACTGGGTGCTCAACACCGAGGCGCATCCTTTCAAAAGGCCGACCTGAGAGAGTTGCTGTAAACTTGGATGGTTCCAAATGGCATGAGCAGGCGTTTTGGTGTTCACGGATCCACAGAACGTGGGTGACTTTTGTCAATGATACTGTCATGGGTCCGAGTTGGATAGGAAGACATTGGTTATGATAGCATTTTTGCATTGAACAGTCACAATGATCAATTTTTTGAAAGCCGAAAGTTTGTTGAGTCCTTGTCATTTGTTCCTATGTACCATGTCCTGGCTTCCCAACCATTCTCTGCCCATTTTACCAATTTCGTCCTGAGTATGTCCTCCCATCATCCGCCGCACACTGCCATCATGAGCATCTCATCCAACCTGTGATCAGTCTATGTATAAGTAGTGAGGAATCAAGATGAACACCCGCGCGAGAGAGTGGACAATTCGATCATGGTAGTGGGTTGAGATTAAAACACGGGATCATCTGTCCAAGCCAAGTAGTATAAAAGCAGAAAACAAAACAAACCATCGCAAAAAATGTCTGATTAAACTCCGGTTCCCAGATGCTGCTTGCTTGCTTGCTTGCTCGAAGGAGGGGGATTCTTTTTTGTGCTCTCTCGGTCCGACAGGCAGACAGACAGGCAATAGTCATGTACATGATATCCCCCTTCTTTCTCCACTTTCCGTCTGGTCACACCCAAAAATATACCGCATTTCTCCGTACTCGATCGATCGATGTATCGATCGAGTCAGAGGTTGTTCGTTGCACAGATCCTCTCCCCCTTGGATACCTGACCTGTCCGACCGGTTCGACCATTCTAGATTCCGTTTCCCGTCGTTTGCATGCATGCTGATTTGTTGTTGTCGTTCCAGGTCATGTAGTAGTAGTGTTGTTGTTCTTGTTCTTGTTGTTGTTGTTCTTGTTGTTCTTGTGTCGAGCGTAGTTCTTGTCATCCATCATACATACAATATGCAAACATCTTCATCCTTGTCTTTTTTTTCTTCTTCCCCTCCCCCTCCTCTCGCATCATGATAACAAACCTTGACGACCTCTTAGTCCGCAAGCTGGCTCAGCACGCGGATGCTGAGGATCATGACGAGCAGGCCGATGGTGACGATGATGAGCAGGGTGAAGCTGAACCAGCCCATGACCATGGCGCTGGTGCCCACGCCGCTCTTGACGCTGCCGTTGCCAAAGTCCTGCGCGATGATGCTGGCCGCCACCGACGCCGTGTGCTGCCACAGCACCGACACCAGCACGAAGATGGACGCGATGAAGATGATGGCCAGCGCCACCTGCGACACGGGCCGCGAGGGGAACGGCTTCACCTCGCGGTCGGAGCCCTCGCTGTCCTCCTCCTCGTGCCAGCCCGGGAAGGTGGCGAGCAGCAGGAAGCAGATGAAGGCGAAGATGATTGCGATGATGCTGTTGAAAAGGGTCAGTGAAACTAGTTGGTGCAGGATGGAGATTGGGAGCCATTGAGCCCACTCACATTAGATACGGGAACACAATCATGTCCTTGAACTGGCTCGCTAGCCAGATCAGGTTCAGGGGGTCCTGGTCGACGCTGACTTCGTTGGCCAGGGCAGTAGCATTATTACTACATAGCCAGCTCCCGCCGTCCGGGTTGACGCAGATGCCAAAGTAGCCCACGCGGGCCTGCAGGTGCGCACCGCCAACGATGTTGGAGATGGCCTGGTTCACATTGTAGTCGACCTGCGCCGTGTCCGGTACGGCCGTGTAGTGCTGGTAGTAGAGCGATAGTAGGAATATGTCGGGTATCAGCGGACTGGAGGATGAGCAGCCTGCTAATAGGAGGGCTAAAGAGGACAGGTTAGCAATGCGAACGCAGGATGGATAGTTGAGGGATGAAGTTCGCTCACATAATAGAATGATAGCCACTGCTATCAGGATCATCAACACATGGTGGTACCCTAGGAACGGTATGAACCCTATAATGGATCTTGCAGTTAGCTAAAATGCGTCATGGCATTGTGGAAACGTTTTATCCATGTGCCCTTTGAGACATCCCAACGGTGGTGTTTCCACCGGTCTGGAGATCCCTCGTGGGTGCATGGAGGAGGAATTGAGGAGAGTTAGACGTACGGTACCACCCTATCTGGAATGCAGGAGCCATCGGAGCTGTTCACGACGGCGTCGTCCTTTGACTCGGTATAGAACCGGTCCTCTCTCTCAATGGGCCCAATCCCGTCCTCCGATCGTGCGGAGCGACGGTTTGGGAGGTTTGGCGCCACGCAGCGCAAGCCGGAGTGGAATGCGGTCCAAGCCGTGGAATGGTGGTCGTCGCCGACAATATGGGGGGAAACTCGCTGTCGTGTGGTGGAGAGCAGCCGAGTTGACCCGTGAGACAATTGATCGAGGCCGACTGGAATGTAATCTGTCTGTATCAGGATCGAAGAGCTGGCGTTGGTTCAAACGAGCGACTGGACGACTCGAGGGAGCTCTTCGTTTGGGATAGTAGACCTGTTCTGAGTTACAGTGCAGCAGTAGTAGACTGGAGTGGAATGGAATGGAATGCGGGATGGGACGCTGCTGGGTCAGTAACGCTCTTGTCTCGCACGAGGTGACTTAATTTGTTTGAGTGTGGAATGTAGAAGTTGTAGATGTATGTGTCAGAGCAGAAAGAGTAGTGTAGTCTCTATCTGCGCGGAGATGGCGGATGTCTGCGTATGCAGATGGTTGAACGGAGTGGCTGGGAGACGGACAGAAGATGGTGTGTGTGTGTGTGTGTGGGAGAAGACGGGATGGGCAAGTTAGCGTGAGATGGGGAATCAACTCGCAGGCGATCCTAACGGGCCAACGACGACGATGGATGGATGATGATGATGAGGAGGATGGCAACGTTGAACTAACCAACCAACCCTGCAAGCCTGTCGCACTCGTCGTTCCTATTCGCCTACCATTGGACCGGCCTTACAATTTCCTTTGCTACAGCGACCGCAATCAGGGGACAGGGGGACAGGCAGCGCCGTTTCGCTGAGGCGTGTGGCATCGCCAAGTTCCAACCTCCTGCATTTGTTGACTTGGAAGCGCCGCTCGTCTCCGAGCAACCAGCCACCAGCCCCTGTTGCTCCACGGCTACGGGGCCAGGCTTCGCGGTGGTGGGGCTTCCTTTGAGGCTGCGCCCAGGGGCCTGGACCTGCTGGGCCACTAAAAGAAGCCCTACCATGCAGGGTTCCCGCCCCTACCTTCTTAGGTGCCTCCTCAGCCGAGCCCGCTACTGCGTGACGCACCTGCGAGTTTAATGGAAATCGCTCTGCCTCAATCGCCTGATGCTGCCCGCTATCTCACCACAATCCCCCATCACGCCACCCGGCCCGCTACACCATATATACGCAGAATCACGGACACCTAAAAATGCATCACCAGCGTCTTCAATGATATAAAACCTACCTACTCGTCCGTGGACATGCATTGGCATTGGCATTGGCATTGGCACACAAGTAGAGAGCACCAGCAGCGTGCAACGCTAGCACCTCCGCCGCCGCCGCGCGAGCCGGAGAGGTGCCCCTACTGCCTCGTCTACCCTGTCAGTCCCGGCGTCATCTTGGTCCTCCCTGCATCGCCGCCGCCAAGTTACGAGGCCACCGCCGTCCACCAGGCAACTGACCGCCCAACCTGCCCCATTCGGCGCCCGCCCGGAGCCAACTATATCTACCTATATCCCCCCTCATGAAACTATATCAGCGATCGCTTCGGGTCTGATCGAGCTGTTCCTGTCCCTTCTTTTCCAGGGTGACGGATGATGAAATGATCTACGGCAGCTGGGATGGATCGTGGTCCGGGGAGACCGCGACTCACGCATGACTCGGGCTCCCACGACTTTCGCCCTGAACATTCCACTATCCATATCCTGGTGCACCATTTGTTCAGCTCGACCCCGAGGTGGTCTCTGAAGTTGCAGTGGCTTTATCAGGCTGCGGCAGGCTGGGAAAGCGCTCTTTTGCCGTCCTCGACTCTTCGGACGACCTCTGAATACTCGCTCTGGCCACGGGGCCTAGTTCTCATCGAGGACGCACTCCAAGAACCCTGATGCTTGCTGAACCCGACCTGGCCGGAGACATGGCGAGGGAGCAAATTGTCTTGGGCGATTTCCCAGACGACGGGGTCTCGCGATGGACCAGTTTCTCAACATGCTATCACCATAGAATACACAAATCATGGCAGTCAGTCATGGCTCGACTGAAGACAAGAAATCGTAAGACTGATGAGCTGAGTCGTCTCATTGTATAAGATCTGTATCATCAGACGTAGAAGTAGACATGGAGACATAGAACATAGAACATAGACACGCCGCCACTTGGCACCGTTTACCGCATATCATATGTCATATGCCCTTCGGATCGATCGTGCTAAGAATCTGTCAAACCTCACCTTATGCATTTCCACTCCCACATCTCACGGAGCTAGTCAGCCTCCTTTTTCGAAATCTTGGGCTCCCTGCCTATCGATGACTTCTGGGTTCAAGGTTGGTGTATGCCGGACTGCACACACGAAACGGCCGCTCTAAATGTATAACATGTTCAAGTGGTATCAGGGGTTGCGAACAAGAATTGGTGTCATGTTCACACGCTGCTCATGTTAGGCCCATTTACTTCATGGGCTCTTCGCGGTGCCCTGCGCTGGACTCCTATCGATTTGCTTCCTCCGTCTAGTAGAAGCCGAGGAGGCAAGGCACGGGGGACTCAAAGACAGAGTGAATATATATGGACCTCAGTGATCAAGGGCTGCCGCACACTGCCTCTGCAGGTCTCACTTTCATCATAGAGAGATTCACGAATAGTAGTTAATAGGATGTGCATTGCGTCTGCGATGTGTTTGCGTAGCATCTCAAATTCAACTGTTGCCCCAACTAAAAACAAAGGACCAGCAGTAGTAGTTAGTGGCAGCCAGCCAAACAAACCAGCAAAGCCAACTCACCCAACCAAACCCCCCCGTCCCACCAGAATCTCTACCTTATCTAATACACGGAGGGGGACGGACCGATGGAAAATATCTTCTGTGCTGTGATGTGCTGGTTATGTTGTTTCTGTGTGCGTTTCGCGAAGCCCCCCTTCGCGCCCAAGAGAACCGTCGAGAGCGCAAAGGAGGTAACAGATGCAGAGAGAGAGGAAGAGAGAGGAAGGTAGAGAGAGAAACAAAGAGACGGTGCGCCATTAACACTGGTCCGCCGCCACTGACCAGCCAGTCGGCCAGCCTCTAAATGGTTATGGGGCAAAAAAAGTACATGTGGTGGGCGGGAGTAGAACTAGACAATAGAGTATTACATGCCCTCAAACTCGCCGCCCAGGTCGTCCTCGTCCAAATCACCCTCTTGGATCTCCTTGGCCATTTCACGCTCACGTTCCCGAGCCTCCTGGGCATTCTTGAGCTCAAGTCGATGCTGGTTCATGGGGAATCGCATAGCCTGTGTCGAGACGTTGTTAGCCATGATCATGCCACGGAGACAGAAGGAAGGAGGAAGCTCACCTTGACGCTCTCATCATGTAGTGCAAGACACGCCCGAATACGGTCGTGGAAAGCCTCGCCGGGTTCCCGCGTAGCATACACATCACCGATCTCCTTGCTCTTCATAAAGCCACGCTCGCGATCTAGTGTCGCCTCAATAACTCCATCTCGAATCGCCTTGGCCACAATGTACTCCGCAGACTCCTCAGAACCCAGATGTAGTCGGATGCAAATATCCCTCAGTGAGATGCGCGAGTATGACAAGGACATCATACGAATGCCGGTCTTGATGACGTTTTGCCGCAGGCGCAGAATCAGAGTGTAGGTCCCATCCCGACGGAAAGTGTCCGCATGGTCAGCAATCGTTGTCTCGAAATCTTCTAAGTTGCCAATTCGGACGGCCTGGACCAGTAGGAAGTATGGGTGCAGCGCCTGCTCCATCGTAGGCAGACGGAAGGTCGCTCGGTCTGGAATGTCGCCCATTAGAAGCTCAACGACAAGCAGAAGCTTGGTGGCTGTCTGTGCGAAGCCAAGAGCGCATTGACTTGAAGGAGCCTTGCGGGTCGCAGCCGTCAGGTGCTCGTGTGCCTCAGTGTAGCGGAGCTGGATGGCGCGAATGCGACCGAGATAGTAGAGGAATCGTGCGACCTGGTTGTTGGCAGCATTCTCGGGGAATTGTGTGTGTGAGACCAGGAGGTCCGCTTGGGCAATGTGAGACGTTAGGAGGTAGTTTCGCAGCAGTAGAACGATGACCGATGCCTGAGTATCGATATCCTTTCGCAGGACAGCTGTTCGCAGAGCTGCGAGAAGGGTAGGTCGGATGGCGATAATCGGAGACTGCGGTGACGGAGGTAGAGGCGCGATGCTCTCGCTGAACAAAGAGTAGTAGAAATAGACCTTGGCTGCGAGAGAGTCTAACGTTCGGCGGTTGAGGCTGTGGATGCGGCCGGACAGGTATTGTGAAAACTCAGAACCACGCTCAAACTGTTTAGAATCAAACAGATGAACTTGAATTAGGATGCCGAGGAAGATGTCGATCTCAGGAATGATTTCCTTAACCTCCTTCTTGGCCCCGTTCTTAACGGGCGCCTTCGGCTCGCTGTCAACTTCCATCTCAGGGCCTGGCTGTCGGCCGAGCGGTAGGTGTTCCTTCCCGAGTGCAATCAGAAGCTGCTTTGCGGCATTCCCTGAGGAAACTGTTGCGGGGAAAGTCTCAACGATGACTTGTGCGAGGATATCGGGTGTGAGACGTTTTCGGATAGATGAGATGGACCGCAGGGCTCTGAGAGTAAATCTGGCATCGAAAAGTACCACGGCGCGATCTAGCAAAGCAAAATTGCTCTTGATATCTGTTTTGCAAATGTCATCAGTCATTTGTCTTACAGGACTTCGATTAAGGCATCGGAGAGATGGTCACATACCTGATACGGCTTGCACAACAGGGTCAACCTTAACCTCCCCGTCATCAGCCTTGTCAGAGTCATCCATGGCAACGTCGCCATCACCATCATTCGGTTGTGGTGCAGAGGACTGCTTCTTGGACGGCGGCACGACAACTGTCATCTCATCGTCGCCCTCCTTGAGGGCCTTCTTGCCCTTTCCCTTTAGTGATGACTCGTCCTTCATCTCGATGTCTTTGCTGCCGGAATACCCGCCGTTCTCGACGGGCTCCTTGCCGTTACCGTTGGGAGTCTTCCCAGGCATATCGATCTATGCTTGTGCGTGATGTGGACGGTGCTTTGGGGACAGTTGGCGATGATGGGATGCAGCACCGTGGCTGCTGACTGATGGGAAGAGGTTTCCGAGGCGACACTCGCGAGGCGCGCTTGCTCGGGATCGCGGGTGGCAGGACGGGCGTCGCTGCTCGGGGGAAGGCAAGAAATGGAAGGAAGTCACAAAGAAGAGTCTCTGGCGCCTGTTCTGATGGCGGTGTCGATGGCCTTGGAGGAAGGGGAATCGCTATCGTCGGTTGATGGGTTGAGTGGAGGTCGTTTGCTTGGGTAGAAAGGTGATGCAAGAAGGTTCTCGGAGCTCAAGGCCAACCAACGCAAACCTACTGGGCCGGGGGCGCACTGGCTGCTACCAATCTGGCGTTAAGGGAGCCGGACACGGACCAGGCGCTGGACAGGTCAGGTAGCCCTCGCTAGCGAAGGTACCAGCTGACACGCGTCGCTGCAGTGCAAATCAGAAGTATCGCGGTACCCCAATTGGCCAGACTGAGCCTTCAAAGAGCACCAAACGATCCAGCCAGCAGCTTCCTCTCAGACCCACCTACCACCGCAATGCAGGCTTAGCTCTCTGACTTGTGACGTTGTCGATATGCTGCCTGCGCATTATTCAGCTATCGCGTCTCAAAACGAAGGCCATAGTAGAGGCTGTAGAGATGAGTTGCACAAAAGGGACAACAAGAGCGTTTTCAAGCCTGGTTTCTCTCCTTATCCCATGCAATATCCCTTATGCTATGGTTCATTTTGCATTTCAATTTTGCAAGTTTGACCTTCTGCACAGTGCTGAAAGAGCCCCATTCCTGCTGACCATAGGCACAAGACCACATGTTTCCGGATGTACCCTGTGGTCGCATATCCAATGAGCGCATGGGGCATATACAACGTTCTCCGCCAGTATGATCTCTACACTTGAAGTAGACCTAGGTAGCCATCAAGGAGCACCAAGAATGATCAAGGTTCTTTTAAATCTATCTTCAACTCGAGGGCACATCTCGGGAATCGCAGAACTTTCTATCATACCTGGGTTGTCAGCCGCATTGCCCCAACAATAGCTGCACGTGATCCCTCAGCACCTACTTAGATGTACCGTGTCTAACAGAGCAAGCTGTAGCGATAGAGGCAGACAAGAGACACCAGCGCATTAAATAATTTGCTTCTTTTTCTTAGTCTAAGCTACGTTATTTCTTCCGGGTTCTTGACGGGGTACCAACTCCATGACGGCCAGACTATCCTGGCGAATCTTAATGTAAAAGCAATCCTCTGTGCGTATCGCAGAACTCCAATATATCCATCCCTCAAACGCCGCCCTGAGCTCAAGCGTCAAGATTCCTTCCAATGCGTGAAATCTTGATCTAGAGATCACCCTTTCCAGGCATGACCTTCGCGGCCTGAATGGCGCTCATCTTGGTGATCCAACCCGGCGCAGGCTGGATCTTGCGAACAGTGCGCAGCTCGTCTGACGAGTAGCCGGGGATGCGGATGTTGTAAGTTCGTTCCAGCACAAGCTGAATGTCCCGTATCTCGAGTACCTTAGACCCGCGCTCCTTGGCATTTCGGCATGCTGCGTGAAGGACGCTGTCAACAAACGAGTCGGCGAGGTTGAGTACAGACTGAGAGACATGTTAGCACACGGAAGAGGTGAAATAATTCTCGAGACTTGTGACTTACCTCCTCGACATCAGGAGTCAAGACATTGCCCTCCTGTCCCTCTGCCTGGCCTCCACAAACCTGTCTGACGAGTTCGTCGAGCTTCTTACGGTTCAGAACGCGCTCGCCTTCGCCCTCTAGCTGGAGAGCGCCGATCTTGGCTACGGCCGGCTGGCCCATAACTCCTCCTGCCATGCCGCTTCCACCGCTGTAAGTCGGACGACCGGCGTTGATTCCACCGCCCAGTGATACCGGTTGAACGGGCTGGATGGCCTTCTCTGGAAGCTGCTTGGGGATGGGCAGTTTCTGGGTCAAGGCAGGTGCTTGTTGCTGAGTCGGATGAGCATGGGGATGTCCTGGCTGTGATGTAGTGCCCATAACACTAGGTGCGCTAGACGGCGTACCTCCAGGACCCTGAGGCGTGGCGTGTGGCTGGCCGGGCTGTGGTGGTTGGCCTTGAACAGACGCTGAGGCTGGTTGCGAGCCTCGTTGATTTGCAAGAGTGAGAGCTGCTTGATGGGAAAGTGAGCGTGGAGCACCACTGGTGGGAGTTGCGGTTACGGGAGTCTGAAGCGCGCGAGCTGAGTTTTGTGTCGGCGTGCCAGCTGATGGTAGTCCTCCGGCGGCTACTGCAGATGCAATTGCAGTATTAACTGGAGGAGGATGGGGGTGAGTTTGAGTACCAGGCTCGATTTTAATGGGCTGTGCCTGAGGTGCGGAAGGCGGATGTGCAGTCACAGGCGAAGTTTGTGGAGCGGAGGTTGCGGCAGGAGGTGCTTGGGGTGGTTGTTGCCCTGCTTGCCCATTTGCACCTGGCACCCGATTTCCAGCTGCTAGTTGTTGGTTCTTGGCAGCCTCGAATGCGGCATTCACTGCGCTTTGTGATGACTGCAAAGGGTTTGTCTGGGCACTAGGTTGAGGCTGTTGCGGCGATGGTCCAGGGCGTGCAGTCTGGCCTGCACCTGCCGGTGTTCCTCCTCCATTCTGCTGCGGCCTGGCTTGTCCGGCATTTGCGCCTGCATTCTTTAATGCTTCTTGATTCTTCCTGAAGTTCTCAACCCATCTTTGAGCTTCGCCATGTGCCTTCTGAAGGGCTGTCTTCCGGTCTGTGAATTGCTTTGTCTCCTCAGGAGACAGGGGATTGCCTTTCTGGGTACGTTCGGCTGCAATACTCTCAATCTTCTTCAGCTGCTCCGAAGTTGTATGCATCTGTTGAAGACCCCTTGCATATCTGGATCTCATTTCCACCTGCCACTTCTGAACAATATCGGGTCCTTTCTCGGCGACCTGCGGCGTAGGGAGGAACGTCATCTGGTTGACATGGCGCATGATCTGCTCGGGTATCTGCTGCTGCTGTCCCTGGGGAGCTGCTGATGCAGCCGCCGGTGCCTGGCCTGTTGATGCTTCGGCTTGGGAAGTGGATGCAGGACCGGCGGTTGCGGCTGGGGCCACCGTGGGCTGGGCAGCTCCGGCTACCTGTGATGGGGCAGCCTGCGATGCATCTTGCTGCTGTTGTTGTTGTTGCTGCTGCTGCTGCTGCGCAGCTCCCTGACCCTGCTTCCGCTGCACGAGCTTGCCGCGAAGCATCAAGCTGAAATCTGTGATCTTCTTGCGGGCATCCATCTTCGCTTGCGAGCCGTCGGGGCTATTGTCGTGGATAGTCCACAGTTGCCGCAGCCCTTTCTCATATTTCAGCTTCTCCTCCTCGGATAGGAATGGCATCTGTCGCATCTGCTCCGCCTTGTACATCGGTGGTCCCTGTGGGCGATTGCCCGGCTGACCCTGAGGTTGGCCCATCTGGCCCGGAGCACCAGGTTGACTCATGATCGCGGCGATGTCAGAATCGTCGGAGGGATATCTCTAGCTCTTCAAGGTGCTCGGATCGTACAGTAGGTTTCGGCAGATGAGAAGGTGAGTTCGCGTTTAAGTTCGCATAGCGAAATGATGAAGAGATCGCGAAGGTTCAAGATCTCCGTCGAGATCTCGTCACTGAGATCTTCGTACTAGATTTCGTCCCGTCTCTCTTCTGTAAGATAACAATACAGATTTTCAGTGCTATTGCGAAATAAGGAGCACGTTGACTATTGTCCTGATTAGATGGACTCACATTCCCATCACCCCCAGAGTCTAGCCTCGCCGCGGGAATGGACCACTTCTTACCGGACTTACAATGTTCCGCCCTTTCACCCAATCACACGCAAGACAAGCCCCAGCCTACCATATTAACAGTTCCATGGGGAAGATGGGAAAAGCTTGAGAACTCTACCCCATATTGGATTTTATAAACATTGGTCTCAAATTTTAATGTTTAATAGTCTCCGTTGTAATTACTGTTTGATGTTTGTTCACTATAGAAGGCCATAGTTCTGTTTCAACATCCTGATCGCGAGGACACAAGGACATGAGAACATCCAGTGGCATCTCGCTGATGTAGCTTCAACTTATGCTGTTCAGCCTGCCTTTACAGATAAATGGAGCACAAAGATGTCAATTGGACGTCTTCGAATTGTGACGGTCTCCCATCTACATGCGGATAAAGAGCACACGACACAAAATTCTGCATGCAAGCCTGACGATTGCTCCTCGGTCAATGTACGTCTCATTGGTTCCAAAGTCTCGCAGATGCAAGACCAAGGTCCTTGTGGCGTGCATCTTCTCCAATGGCATCAGCAAGAGCATGTTGCATTTCAAATCAAGTATATTGGACTCATGCGAGCCAGTCTATGATAAGGTCTCTATGCAAAGAAAGCGATAACGCTGAATCCACCATACTGGAAACGAAGAGATCCCAAATCCAGAGTCGGTCCGCGACTCGATTGCATGACCCCAAGATGTCCTATATGTAAGTCTAAGTGGTATCATTGAGACCGTAATGGTACACCGAGACCGGAACCTATCTAGGCCAGCCTGCGTTTCCGCTCGTCTCCATCAGTCTTGCCGCAGCTGCCGATGCCGATGCAAATTGTTAAGATGAGTGCTCAACTCGTTGGAGCAATGCCTGACTATGAGATCCTGACTATTCAAACGAGGTCCACGCTATGCCAAATCCAAGTAAACGCAAGTAAGTAGCGACAGGCAGAGATCAGGTCCTTCAGATAAAATGTTGAATGAAATATGTGTTCGTGGGTATAAAGCCCCTAGATGTCATGCACCACATTACATGCATCGTTGAGTCGTAATGGTCATCATAAGTCGTCCGATTCATAGTCGGCATTTTCATAGCAAAAAGACAGGATCTAAGGAGAATCAATCTCCATACTGATGTAGTTGTAGTAAGGAAGTTCCTTGGCAAGGGATTCGCCGTCTAATTCTTCGTGTTCCTCGATTTCGTCGATTCTTGGAGGCGGATCTTGGAATTGGAGGCTCCATCGGTCGCCAACCCTCCGTCTAAGTCTTCGGGCGCTAGATCCCACCTCGCTCATATCGAGAAGCTGTTGCAGATCTTCCAAATCGGTATCACTGCCAATACTTTCGCTAATCGTTCTCTTTCCGATGCTTCCAGAGCTCATTCTTTTTCGTCGTCTCTCGAGACGAGCTCTTCGCAGCATCTCCTGGAATCGAGCATCTTCTTCATCGATATCGGAATCGTCAGATTCAGTATCGTCACAGTTGAGATCATTGATGCCACGGACGACGTGTGGATCTAATTCCGGACGAGTCCGAGATCTCGACCGGCTCCGTTCTGATTCAGCATCCTCAATAGCGTGAGGGCGGATGACGCCGAGGCGGTCATCGTCACTATCATCAAAATCTGTGCACTCTTCGATAGATAAGGCACTTGTTGTCGTGGTTATGATCGCCCTAATTTGTTGACGGAAGCGTGGAACAGGCACATCGGGGCGTCCCGAGCTCACCGACCGGGGTGGGCTCCCGCTCTCGGATGATGCAGCTTCGGATTCGGCAGACGAAGAGCTAGATGAGCGGGGCGATAGATCCTCAGGTCGAAATGAAGGGCGATTGTAACTAAAGGAATGCCCTGTGCCGAGAGGCTGAATAGTAGGATCCTGAGGCATTGGATATCTGGTTTTGGTTTTCTGAGGAGGAAATCCTCCTCCGTTCTTTGAACTGGTCTTCCGATTGAATACCGGTGACGCAGTCGTGGGTGTTTGGGGCGGGGACGTTGGTCCCACGTCGTGAGAAACGTGCAATCGCGGCGTCGTGGGCCGCATTATCTAAAACTTTTCGTGGAACTTCTAGTTCCTCGTAGATTTGTATAACGTATAATAAGTATGGTCAACTTATTCTAGATCTCCTGTCGATTCGAGATCAATGTGGGGTAGTAATCGCGGGGGGCGATGGTAACGGCGGTAAGGGCTGGCTTCAAGGCGTCAACACCCAGAGAAGGAACCTCCAACGAGGAGAAGACAATGGACTTCGACAATTTGTCATGATAAAACGATGCCGACAGAAAGTGCAGGATTGCGTGCAGCACGAGCTCTGTCCCGGCAGGAGAGAGAGAATCAGGCGACGCAGAATCTTTTGGTGTCGGGTCGAGGGCAGGAGTGGGTGGCAGATGTCAGTCAGACCTGCAGGTGATTATCGCCCCGTTCTTGAGTCGAGCTTGTGAGGAGGCGGCTGGTTGGGAGCGCGGAAGGGAAACCCGAGGGGAAAGAGACCAATGGCTCTTGGGGGCCGCCGGCATACGGACAGGCAGACCGGTAGTCCTCTCTGGCTTTTGACCGACCAAATCGAGATCTAATCGAAAAGGAAATGGACAAACAAATTGAGCGAACAGAGAAAATGTAAGTCGATTAGGCGAGACCGTCGTCGTTCCAAGCTTATGAACATCAAAGACTGAGAGTGGAAAGCACGTTTCCGGTCTGTTTTATCCTTTCCTGCTGTCCGAGCTCTCGGGTTGAGCGAAGGTCGTGTTGGCTAAGGCAGATTACGGTTCAAGCGCCAGACAGCGCCGGTCTTATAGGAAAGCAGGGCAAATACATATATTTCCTCGTGCTAAAAGGGGCTGTCGGCTCGTTGGCAGACATTGGGCGGGATGGCGGAAAAAGGACGAGTGGGATAATGGAAAACGAGTGCAGTGGATTGCGCGGTCTATCAGCCTATGTCGGAGAGTAGCGGCGGCTTGGGCAGCAATGCGCTCCAGGAAACCCCGGCTCCCCTAGACAGATTTCATGTATGCCCGGAAAGTCGTGGAGGATCCAAGCCAGCGATATTGCGACAGGTAGACAGCCGGCCGGCAGAAGGCATGCTGGCTATGACTCCCACATGCGCCGGTAAGCAAGCAGCGACATGACAACAGATCTAGATGAGGTGAGTTGTCAGTCGGAGCCGGCTCCAAATGCACACTTTGTCCCACGAGGCTGGGCGGTGTCCAAGGCTGGATGGCCTACTGGCCCGTTCACGACGCGCTTGCTATGGAGAAACGACGAAATTTGCGGTAAGGGAAGACGAATGAATGAAAAGGAAAATCTAAAATAGGGCAGTGGCATTAGGGTCGCAGCAGTTTGTGCCCAATGAACGAGTGGATGAAGGCATTCCGCGCTGCACGATGCGAAGAAGGGAAAAGGCAGGTGTGGAAATGTGGAGAGCGAGAGGATAACGCCGCTTGGAAGCCAGCGATGCAGCCGGGAATGCAACAATGCAGCTCGCATTGCAGCGAGGCGGTCTCGAGAAGCCTTTTTGCCCCTGATTATCGTCGAAGATCTTCTCTCGACATCTCGTGTTTGCCCGTTGTAATAGAAGATGCTGGAATATCAGGCTCTCTTGTGGCTGACGGAGCCAACAGGGAATCTCAGGCAAGTGAAGGTGCCTTAAAGAGTGCGTTGTCGCCCGATGTGCTCAGAGTAAGCTTATTGGATGTAGTCTCTTGGTGGTCCGCTTCATCGGTTGGAGCGGGGACCTTGAACGGCCGGATCGTCCTCTTGGAGGGTTGCATTGTCGTGGGTGGATATGAGCCTCCTCGGCCAAACTATTCCAAGACCGGGGCCTGATGAAAGAAATCGTAAAGTGGGATTACGAGTATCGTCACCTTAGCACTCGGGCTGCTGATCATCACTTGGTTCAGGTTGGATCTGGACACCTCGGCCCTATAACATGAGACGGATGGTTCCAAGATTTGAAACTGGGGAGACTCTGACACGTTCTGGAACAAGCGTCCAATGTATTAAGATATAGTAGACCGGTGGCCGGATATCACAGTTGGGAAACAGAGCTTCTTGACTATCTAGATGTGTTGAGACTTCTCGGGATTGAAGATTATGAGCCCCTACCCAGGCAGGCATGTATCTATTTGAAGACAGAAAAGTTCAACCTGCGTAGCTGCATCACTTGAAATAAAGAACAAAGTATGGAGGAAGGAGCATCCCGCTAGGTCTGACGTCGGCGGTGTATTGCCGCTAGAATTGGGGAAGCCACCTAGAGCCTACGGGACGTGGGGCGCGCAGCCTCCTACGGTCCCGCCAACGCGGAAATCTGAGCTTATCGATAGCGCGCGTGCTATTCCCCTCCATGATGCATCATCTCCTCGTCGTTACAACAGCACCCAAATTCGTGGCACATGCCGAATAGCAAGACCGACTGCTCAAATTACTTTCGTGTCTGAACCAAGCTAATCTATCTCGAGGTTTTTTCCTTTCCGATCGACCTCCTAGTGTCGTTCTGAATAGCTTTGATCGTGTCGCGTCGTTGATGCCCCACCTGAAATCGATATAAACATTCGCCCATAATGTCGCTTCTCGCTGCTCACCTCGAGCAGATAGCGGTCTCGTGCCAAGGGATCGACAGTCTTCCGTACGTCTCTTTCATTTCTATGTCCTGCAGTTGAAAAGGCTCGCTAATCAACCTAGCTTCCCTCCACCCAAGATCTTTACCAATGCGCTTCTCTCCAATCACGACATCACATCCCTCATAAGAGACACAGAAACTCACGAGCGCGCCCTCTTCTCCGTTCCACCCCCGGCACCTCCGACAACAAGTCAGAACCCCGGACCCCCAAAAATCTCGCGTAGGCAGACAGTTTTCAATGTTGCCGGGGGTGAGGTCACGACCGGCCCGCCTACCTCCCGTTCAACCAACCCGCGGCGTAACACCGCCGTGGCGGCCGTGCTGGGCGGTGACCTGCATGCGCAGATAGTACGGCGCACAGGGGGAGAGAAAGGTGATGTCGACATTGAGGTCCTGCTTCACGGCGCAGAGAAGCTGTGTGGCGTATATCCTTTGCCTGGAGCGGCTGAACGGATTCGGGCTCAGCGGCAGAAGTGGGCACACCAGAGCAACACCCTCGCCTATTATGAGGCGAAGGTATCCGAGCAATCTGAGGCCCTGGGGCGGATGAACAAGGATCATTGGCGGGACGAGGAGGAGGAGATAGCAGATGATGATGTAGGAGGCAACGGTCTCACCGAGGACGACTTACGGCGGGAAGAAGAGGAGGCACGAGAATTGGACAAGAAGAAACGCGAGTTGCAGGAGAGGTTACGGGCTATGGACAAAGATTTGGGTGGACTGTTAAACATGTAAGGTGCGAGTTCATCCCGAGTGTCACGAGAGAGAGGAATATACCCCCATTCGATCCATGAGAACAAACGATCCCAAGGCTTTATGATGTTCTACTCGATCCTTTTCACTGAGGATCAACTCATACAATTTACAGAAGTCAGGCTTGCCTCTTCTTGTCTTGGCCAAGTAGGCTCAAGCGTGGTCACTTCTAGCCACTTCGCCATAAATACAGATCCCACATCACTTCTCATAAGATAGTCATCATGCGGCATCTTTCGCCTTCACGAACTCCTCCAGAAACACCTGAACGTCCTGGGCACCATCGACAGTGAATTTGTCGTTGATCGTGAAGTTTGGGACGCCTTGGATTCCTGCCCTGTACGCCAAGTCCACCTCTCGATCGACCTCCTGTCCACCTTTCCCTTCAGCAAGCCATTTCTTGATCTCGGCGGGGTCTAGCCCTGCCTTCTCACCAGCCGAAGTCAGCAGATCGTGAGAGGTAATGTCGCCGCTCTCCTCGAAATAGCCACGGAACAGCTCAGTCACGACACGATTCTGTGTCTCGATACCCTTGGTCTTGCCCAGCTGGATCAGGCGGTGCGCATCGCGCGTGTTCCCTATTTTGCCACTGAAAGTGAAGTTGATGCCATCCGGTTGACCCATCATTCGAAGGCGATTCTGCATGAACTCCACCCGGTCGGCGCCAAACCGTTCCGCCATTCTTTGCTGCACGGGGACGCCATGCTTGGGCAACGATGGGTCCAAGTAGAATGGAGACCAGCTCACAGTGAAGGTGTCATTGGCTCCGCCAGGGTAAACACGTTTATATACGTCAATGGCCTTGTCTAGACGCTTCTTGCCCAGATAGCACTGAAACCGGTCAGTTGTGGAAAATTTGAAGAGCTGGGGACACATACAAAGGGGCAGATGGGATCGGATATGACCTTGATGTTGAAATTCGTCATCTTGGGCAACTTCATGAGGGTACTAGGATACCGCGAAGAATCATGATCTGGAGAGGTCCATCTGGCGTTTTAAATCATAACCTTTCCGCGACTCTTGCTCCAGCCGCCCCATCCCCACTCCGCCGAAAGATCGGGGCGCGCGGGATAGAAACGCTGACAAATCAGTGACCAACGGCACCTATATCCAGCCGAGTCGCGAGCCAAGGTGAAAGTGGCGCATTGAAGCCCAGGTCGTTGTCTCTACTTTCCGGCGTATAAGTTAGGGAGTCGTCAATTGAAATTTACGGACGTTGCCCCTGGGACGATTTGGCGGAGCTCCGCCGAGAGCTATGACCGTCAGCACGGTCCCGGAGGTCTAACAGACCGGCCACTCGACCCACATTCCTTCCCGCCGGAGGCTCAGCCCCGGACATTGTTACGTATAATTATGCGTATCCGCTCGTGACGCGTGAATACGCTGGTGCTTGTATGGGGGTGCAACATCAATTATCCACTTGTTCAGCATTCCTACCCATATCTACCAGGTGACTCTGTTGGACTCTAGTCTTCTCTCGGTGTTCGAGAAGAAGCATCTCTACGTTCAGGCTACAATAATGATTGCTGCCTTTCGTGCAGTATCGTCGATTGTGAGTTAAAACTGTAATTCTTGGTTACCCATCCACACATAACATCGTAGAAGGTGCGACTTACACTGAGCATGCTGCGTTCAACCATTTGAGGTCGTCGCCACGCTCTGAGTCAATGATATTGGAAGTAATTATGGCATTTCAATGAACTTCCAGAGATCGCTTTAAAACTAAGGCTACATCACTGTTCAGGGTTTGTAGCACTATGTGATTTTATCTGAAAGGATTACATCCCTTAATGTCGTAGTCAACATTATAACGCTCTCGTCGGCTGCTGACATATCCAATAATGTTACATGCTATCTATCATCATCAATACCTTAGACATGCAAATCTGTATAGCTATCATCATTCCGTGATTGCGCAGCATGCATTCATGTATCTTCCCCCATTTCCACCGTCTATCTTCGACTTCTTGTACTCCCATGGGAAAATGTATTGCATCGCTAACTTCAAGCCCTTGCTTCCCCCATTTCGATTACGCTCCAAGCCTGGCATATTCTGGGACTTCATTAAAAGAAGCGATCTAAGTCGAGTTGGTCCGTCGAGCTCGGAAAAGACTCTAGAGAACCGTGATAGCTTCAAGAACGCTTGTCTCGCACAATTTATAATGAGTTTTCCAGGACCCCGCTATGTTGTTGCAATGTCTGTCCACTGACAACTCAAATGCGGTCAAAAAGAAAATCCGGACTTCTGCCGAGAAGCCATGGTTGTACGTATGTGTTCTTAGCTTTCTCTCAATGGCGCTCCTTTCTTTGTAAGTGCCGCGATAACTCCACTTCGCCCCGATGGCGACACTTTAGCTAGTTATGGCTATAAACGTTCACGTGCTGAGCACTGATGCTGTCCACAATCCTCTCAGCCCAACTCCGCATAAAATATATGGACGACAGCATCTGAATTATTCGTGGCCACCAAGGTTCTCAGGATTCCAACACTAACTAAGTCAACATGTCATTCGTCAATTCCGTCGTGCCTGAGTTCGAGGCTGCCAATCAACAGTATGCAGCGTCCTTCAATAAAGGACACTTGCCTCTACCACCAGCTCGGTAAGGAATTAGCTGCTGCAGGGCCCTCGTCGGAATTCTAGGGCTAAATTGTCATTTAGGAAGGTAGCAGTCGTGGCTTGTATGGATGCTAGACTAGGTACAGTTTCCCACCTCTTCAACTCTATACATCGTAAATTCTACTTACACCTATATAAGATCCTGCCAAAGTTCTCGGACTACAGGAAGGCGATGCCCATGTCATTCGAAATGCTGGCGGCCGAACTATTGAAGCCCTGCGCTCTTTGGTTATCTCTCAACAGCTGCTTGGAACTAGAGAGATCGTAATCATTCACCACGTGAGCCAATTATATCCTCAGGTACAAAATAGACAACTAACCTCAAAAGACTGATTGTGGTATGCTCACATTCTCCGACTCCGACCTGCGATCCAAGGTTCAATCAGATCTAAAGCAGAACGTGGACCATATCGCTTTCTTGCCATTCAAAGATGTGCGTCAAAGTGTCTTGGACGACATTGCCATTCTAAAGGCAAGCCCTTTGCTGTTGGATGTACCCATCACAGGCTACATCTATGAGGTGGAGACTGGCAAAATTGTTCAGGTCAAACCTTGAGTCAAGTTTTTGAATTATGAAAGAGTTTTGAGTTTCTATAGCCAGCCATTGTACTCCAAATGGCCGGGACGATCGCTTGTGTGCTCTATTTGAATAACTAGTTTATATCCAGAAATGTTCCCGGTCTTTAGCCTCATGAGACCTTGATTTACTGCTTGTAGTCCACCATGTACTATGACAAGGCGAGGAACCTTGAGCTTGCCTAACTCGAAATAAGCGGTTATTTCCTTTAGTATTTGATCTCCGAAGTCTGGTTCATTGTGAAAGATCTTGACTTTGATCTCGGGCACCTCCACTTGGGAGCCATCTGAGAGCTTGTACGCGCCGTTCAATTTCCCTGCTTTCTTGACCTCAGCAGGAAATCCTGCCAAGGCAACAAGAACTCTTCTTTCATTCGAAGGCTCCTGGCTCTCGAGGCAGCGGAGGCACGAAGTCGCGCTAGTTGATCCTACAGCATCAAAGGCGTACCTCAGATTTCCAGCAGTAATTTGTCGTATCTGACTGGTAAGACTGGCATGACTGTCTTTTCGATCAAGCACAACTTCAGCGCCGGCTTCACGAACATAGTCAAAGTTGTGCGAGCTACAAACAGCTATTACACGATGTCCATACAGTTTTGCCAGCTGTATGGTAAAATAGCCAGTATTTGTAGCGCCTCCCCATACTAGAAACCATTGAGCTTGTCCTTGTTCTTTTGGGTCGTCGTGTATGCTACCTATTTTCATATACCGTTTCAGTCCCACTGCAGCTGTGATAGCAGCAACAGGAACAGCGGCAGCTTCTTCAAAACTCAGACAACGTGGAATCTGTCCAACGGAGGACGCTCGTGCAATGCTGTACTCCTGAAAGGCGCCACACCTAGAGCTGCTGTAGTCTGTGAGTGTGAAGACTGCATCGCCCGGAAGAAAGCCGGAAACATCACTGCCGACTTGCTCAACTACCCCGGATACATCTCGGCCAGAGACCCAAGGTAGTGAACTTATTCCAAAATTATAATCTTTAGCTTGCCTGGTATCTGACTCAGTATTGGAGCGTATGCAAAACATCACGAAGTATTACCAGTCAACCGGATTCAGCCCCACAGCAACGCATTTTATTAGGACCTCGTCAGGTCCAGGAATAGGAACCGGGTAAGCATAGTCCAGGATAAATTCTTGGCCGAATTCGTGGACTAGCAAAGCTTTTGCGAGCTTGGGAGTCCGCACATTCCGGTACATTCTAGCCGTCATCAAGGACTTCGTCGACTTTCAGTATGATGCAATTGCATCGAAATGCATCGTTTATAGAGAACTTACTAACTACACTTGTGGGTCTTTACAATTCTTAAGGCTATCAGAAGGATCGTTACTATTTATCACGCCATAGTATTGACGGGTCCCAGGATCCACCCGATGCCCCTGACAGTTCCTCGAGCCTCCATTGCCTCGCATCCTGGCACCTTACGTGTACCAGCTAGGCTCTGGGATTTCCCGAAGTAGTGCCCAGCTTCCGACCTCTCGGAATTTGTATGAGATAGGATCGTGGAGCGAATGCACTGTTGCATCAATTTAGCATGCATGACGCAAAGGCTTAGCATCTCAATCCAGGACCACTTACAACGGGTATTCCTCCAAAACCGGTCAAAAGCGTATTTGCTAAGTCCTGAGCTCGCGCCCATGACTTCAAAAATTTTGCTTGAAACCTCGAGAGTGGCTTCAATTGCTGTGGCTTTCGAAGCAGCTACCTCTACACCTTAGTTAGAATAGGCGGAGAAGTTAGAGGACGCCAATGTCTACTTACGAACAGCAATTTCTCCACGTGCCTGTTGTGTTAGTTGCTCGCGAGGTGCATGAATGAGCTTGGAGATGCCCTCTGCGGTGCGGTCCAGTAAAGCTTCGGCAGCCCAGAGCTTTGCCTGAAGCCGACCGTACCCTTCCCTAATGTACCACTCGTCTGTAGCTTTCTCTTTGTCGTCGCCGCCATATGGCCAGGCACGGGTGCGCGTTCGACTGTACTCCGCTCCAGCTTCAAGAGCTCCAATGCCGACACCTACGTGTACTGCTGCAAATTGGAGCTGAACTGGAGGGAGGATGAAGTCGTGATATGCGTCACGTGGAGTTAACTTCTTATTCTCATACCCAGCAATATGCTCCCAAGAAACCCGAACATTTCGAATCACGCAGCCTCCAGATTCCTGAATGCATGTGTTAGCCACGTGGATATTATGCAAGTAGGCCCGTCTATTTGATCTCACCGTTAATCTCTGTCCAATGACGTTCCAGTCTCCCTTGAAAGAAATGCCGGGATGTTTAGTCGAAACGAATGCGAAAACGTGCGTCTTAGTTTCATCTTCTAGGACACCCTCTAACACAGTCACATCGCTGATGACGCCACCTTTGGGCTTCGTTAGTATAAAGCACTAGTTGTGATTTGATCCTTGGGGTTGTGGGCTTACCAGTCGAGAAGAACTTGTCACCATTGAAAACAAGCTCATCTCCTTCGTCTCGTGCAATCATGTCGGCGTTCCGTGGGTTCACCGCTCCTCCTAAGTAATAGTTTCCTTCAGTGAACTCCCGAAGCCATCTTTTAGCCTGCCGGGGCGTCCCTAGGATCTGAGAGGACCAGAACCTATGCTCTCGTCAGCCAATCATCTAACGGGTTAGACGAGATACTTATGCTCACCATGAATAATGGTTTCCAAGCAGATGGCCTATGCTGCCGTCGGCTTTTGCAATTTCAGTAGTCACTTTGTAAGACGTCTGCCAGGTCTCGCCCGCTCCGCCAAATTCGCGAGGGCCAAGTAAGTTGACTAACCCTGCGTCTTTAAGTAGTTGGATCTCTGCAAATGGTGACTGGACTTCGGTATCGCGTTCTGCAGCATCGATTTTCAAGACTTCTGCCGCTTCTGCAGCACGCTTTGTCCAACCTGCAGGGGTATGCGGTTTGGGTTCTGCAGCCCAGCGACGGCTAGCCGCAGCCCGTGCCTGCTCAGCTCTGAATTTCTGCATGTTGGAGGGTGAACGTAAATGCGCCTATGGTGCTGGTGGTCATTTCAGTTGGTGTGTGATCATGGCGTCTCATTGGCTTTTATGGACTTGTCTGCACTTGCAGCCGTATCAAAGGGTGAGGTCTCGAATTGTGTCGGCCCATATGTGGTACGAAAGTCCCATCCCGACCCGCCGGACTAGTTCAATGGTGACTGTCTACGCCGCAAGCTATCTTGCGCTTCATCATTTTTGTCAAAAGGAATACCGCTATCCAGGACCCCGGGCATGTCATCATTGCTCCTCTCGCGCACGTCTTCGGTGTAAGATATCGGAGACCCACCGGACCCGGTACAAATGTGGGGCCGGAGATATAGCTGATACTGGAACAGTCCGGCTGTACTCTCGACTTATAGCTTGACTGGACCATGCAAAGATACAATGCAGATATAGCTTCGCAAGGTGCAGATCCTAGGCTTCTAGACTTTCGTTGTCTCCAAAGCACATTCTCTTCTTGATCCGGCCTATTGGCACTGTCAAAGATGGCTGACAACTCGATATTTCCCGTATTCAGCTCCGGTGCTGGTTATGGTATTATTGTTGGTCTTGGTATAGAACACTCGGAAAAAGATGTAATGACGAGGTAGAAATTAACATTCGTTCTAGGTGGCGCTTTCGCGCTTCTAATGACTCTTACAACGTTTGCGCTCAAAAAGTATTTCTCAGAGGTCCAGGACTCTGAGATGTACTTGACAGCTAAGAGATCTATCAAAACTGGCCTCATCGCTTCTTCAGTTGTTTCTTCATGGACTCTCAGCGCAACTCTCTTAACTTCGACAGTGTTCGGATATTCGTATGGCATTGCAGCCACATTCTGGTTAGTTTCATAAAATGCGCAAAATTTAAGACAACAGCTAAAGGGTTTGATTCCAGGTTTGGTGCGGGTTGCTCTGTTCCGATTTTGACATTCGCCGTTCTGGCTATTGAGTTGAAAAGAAAGGCACCGAACGCTCACACCTTTCTCGAACTCGTGAAGCATCGATATGGGGCAGGAGGGCATATCGTTCTAGCGATATACTCTTTGATCTATCAAATATTCATTGCCGTTAACTTGCTCGTCGGGGGTGCGGATGTATTCAACCTAGTGACTGGAATGCATAAAGTTGCAGTGTGTTTTCTCTTTCCGCTGGGAGTTTGCATTTATACGCTCTTTGGAGGTATCAAAGCAACATTCCTCACTGAATGGGGTGAAGCTTTGGCTCCGCTACTCCTCAGTAAAGATCTTAAAAGCTAACTTTCAATAGTTCATACCGTCATTATATTCGTGATTATGCTGTCGTCCATGTTCGTAATGTACGCAACATCAGATGCTGTTGGCTCACCGGGTCGAATGTGGGAGCTGCTCAAAGATGTGGCCGAGATTCGTCCAGTCGATGGCAACGCCAACGGTGAATTTTTAACCATGCGAAGTTTCTACGGGGGTATGATTGGCCTGATCTTTCTGGGAGGCGGATTCTCGGCAACTGTGGACTCTCAGTGAGTTGCGTTGGGTTGTAACAATATTCAACTGGCCTCTACTAATACGCGTCCACCAGACTGTTTCAAAAGGCAATTGCCGCAGATCCAAAATCTACCGTGGCTGGTTATCTTCTGGGATCCCTGTGTTGGGTCAGTTCATTCATCTACGCGCAAATTTCGTTTGTTGACACTTGGCAGTTCACGATACCATTTTGTATCTCTACCACCTTTGGACTTGGAGGAGCAGCTTTGGAACATACACCAGCTTGGTGGGTCGTATGACTGAATATCGAAATATCTCGCAACTAACCAGAATACTAGGCCAACATACCCATCACCCATGTCTGCGGCCGAGATTAATTCAGCACTTGTCTTGCCCTATACGGCTTATACCATCATGGGCAAAGGTGGAGTTATTGCAGTCTTACTTATGGTTTTCCAAGCTATCACGAGTGCTATGAGCTCTGGTATGATATGCCACTCTTCATTCGTAATTTGGTCACTAACTATATCTAGAAATTGTCGCTGTCACTAGTCTAGTTACGTATGACTTCTACCGTGCGTACATCAACCCACAAGCCACGGGTAGCAGACTCGTTTTTGTTTCGCATATTGCAGTCGTTGGATTCGGACTCCTAACCGCCTGCATTGCGGTTGGATTTTGTTATGCTGGAGTCTCGGTCACGTTCATTGTAACGGCAATTGGTATTATCATTGATGGTACAAATTACTCCTTCATCTATGCAGAGTTTCACAGACTAACGTCCATCAGGGGCCGTCATTCCCAGTGCTTGTACCTTGTTCTGGCGCAAACAAAGTAGATATGCCATCGTACTCGTCCCAATTATTAGTTCGCTTGCCAGCATCTCCACGTGGATCGGTGTCGCATATCATCGCGACGGGGCAGTCACTATCGCAACCTTGTCTGACTTTGTACCAACAGTTGCCGGTAACATGCTCGCACTCACAGCGCCAATAGTCTTGACTCCGCTCATCACATATCTCAAACCTGACAACTATGACTTTGAGAGGTTCAAAGAGTTGAAGCAAGTTGATGACAGCGATTTCGTGGCTAAGACAACGCATAACCATGTACACGTCAAGAGTGCTGCAGAACGTACGGAGGATGAGTTGAATCACCTCCAGCAGATCGAGAAGAGACTTTTCCGAGCACGTAACATCGCACTAGCGCTGGCGATATTCATCGCTGTTTCCATGACCATGTGAGTTACGGACTATCAAATTATGACTAGTGAAAGACCAAAGCTGATACTTCATTCTAACAAAGCTTATGGCCTATTCCAATGTACGGAACCAGTTACATATTTAGCAAGAAATTCTTTACTGGTTGGATTGTTGTAACATTCATCTGGGGATTCTTCGGGGCCATTACCATCACATTAGTACCATTATACGAGAGCCGGAAGGAAATCGTTCTGTTCATCCGTGCAGTCCTCGGAGGACGTGTGGTGAATCAAGAGGCCGACAATCACGGAGTTGTCCAAATTGTTGATGATCACAATGACAAAAAGGTGTAAAGCATGTTACATAGATGGGTTTGGAGATTGAGTATCAAACTCAGGTATCAAATTCAGGAGCCAACCCGGCTCCATATTAGAGGGATAGAATGCAGTTAGAAGGTAGAATCGAATTCGAAAAATTGCGTTGGTGGCCACTTCTTCTCGAATAAATTCGTGCTTGGTAACTTGTTCAATTCCTTGTCTATCTTCATCATACAAGCTTTCTCTTGCCATTTTGGAGTTGTCCAGGTCAGACTCATATCCTCGGCCTGACCTATAAGCCTAGGCCGTGGTATGCTCTATGTCAGTATAGTATCATCCTGGCGGATAATGTTGCAGGTCGTGAGGCAAGCATCCTTTTGTCCAGGTCTGATATTGAATATCTAACGGCATATCCAGTCTACCTTCAGAGGGCACAGAGTGCCTGACAGATTCTACCTGGAGCCGGCTCATTCCACTCCTTGTTCCCTGCAGTGATAGGCTCTGTCTCGTAGGGCCGACTCCGATGCGAGTCTTCGACCGTCCAGTGTGTAATGCCAGGCTCCGTAAACCCGTTTGGCACGCGTGGCCGGCAGAGAGAACTGAGGACCGTATTCTCGCTGGTCCATATTTCAATCAGCGGGATGTAGTAAATCGGCTTCTGAACGAGAGAACCTGGCTCAATCCGGTGCATAGCGCCGTAAGGCTTCTTGCTGCCGAGCATGACTATCTGATCTCCTACCGCGATATGGCTCATGACGGTGGTTCGCCGAGCGCCTTGACGAGCTTCCAGGTCGGTAGCTTTGATAGCCAAAACTGTGTCGTGGCTGCTCATCGTCGCGTCGTGAATTTCCTCGCGGTGCTTTCTTTGACTCGTCGTACTGAACGTTTCGGTCCCAATCCTCGAGAGCTGTATATGGGCTCCTTAACCAAGCCCGTAGTTCATGCAGAAAAAGCCTGGTGTTTTCTCTGCCTAAGAACTCCTGCAACATGTCCTCGGCCTGCCCACAGCTACCTTGGATATCAACGGTCTTCAATATGGCGATTATATACTCGAGGAGAAACTCCGCATTGCTTGCGCGTCGCTGCCTCGTCGCATCGTTGTCATTATTGCATCGCGCATCGCGTCCCGCGGACAAAAACTCAAAAACCTGCAGTTCTCGGCGTATCCACGTGCGTGCACGAGACACCAGCTCTGGGTTCGTTTCGAAGAGTCGAGGCGTCAAGTCTCGGTATTGCGACACGCGATTCGAACCGACATGTAGCGAGTAAAGTTTGTTGCGATAGACGTGACGCCTCCGCAATATCGCCTCATCAGCCGTCACTGATGGTTGTGGCGCATACTCCCGACGTCGGCGGCTTCGCGCGAGACGAGACCGTGCGTAGACATCGCGGGTCTGGGTGCTCGCTTGGGTTGCCCCTGCCTCCTGCTTCTTCGCATCGGGTATCTTGAATGTCTTCCAGCTCTTTGAGTCCCTGGTGAATTCATAGTGCACCTCTTTTACATCTGCTTTACATAAGGGGCAGTTGGCTCTCTCTTGCAGCCAGCTGACAAGGCAGAGGAAGTCGAAGTTGCGATGTGAGCATGGCTCTGCTCGGCAGGGCTCGGAGATCGTGTCGAGGCAGATGACGCAACAGAGATCCACGGATTCCGAGTTCGCGGGATCTTGTCGATAAGATAGCTCACTGAGGGTGTTCTGCAGAACCTTGGCTTGAATCTCTACACGCGCATCGTCGTCGTCGGGGTCCATCGACAAGACACGGGGCAGTCCTAAGGCGAGGGTTTTGGTGTGTCGAGGTTGGGAAGATAATCCGGTTCAATTCAGTGCTGCTTACCGAGAAAATGGGCAGGTGGCGCCCGAAGTGGGGTTGAAATTAGCCACCGCACCGGCACCACACCTCCGTTATTCACCGGGGACACTCCCGAGTCCACATCTCATACTGAGCTTATCTGGTCAATCTCAATTTGTAGCAAATACCTAGGCAATCATGAATTTCCATATCTAAGCTATTACCGCAAAAGCAATTTTCGCAAGCGGACATGAGACTAATTTCATGCATGCGTGCAGATGCTTGAAGCAACGTCGTACTTGTTAAGTTGCTGCCTAAGGGATGTCAAATGGCAACTCCGTTTGGGTTCCCTTGAATTGATGATTCTCATCCTTGAAAACCCATCCATGGAGAGGCTGACGGCTTGAAGAGCTCGGATCGTCCGCCACCATGTTCTGAAGGGGCCGTCTGTCTGTTATCTGATCCCTAATTTCTCCCATGCAGGTGAGGACTGAACCAGAAAGGCGAAGATTGCGGATGCCAAAACTGCGGGAACCCGATACCCTGGGCAACATAAAACTGATTCATGCCCTGTTCATTGCCCACAATAGGTTGCATCACTCTATTCTGTGCCACCAGACTATCATTTTGAGCACCTGGCATTTCTGTCTGCGCACGCAGACTCGCTGACTCGCTGTTGAGAAGAGACAGACTGGACTCTCTTTCGGACTTGATTCGCATCTTTTCATTGCCCTTTTCGATCTCAAGTGTGGAAGGCCTCTTTTTATCGTCTGCTTGGGCTCCTTCGTCATCTATCTCGGTTTCAACGATGTTAGTGATCTTCTCCCCATCGTCTTGGGCCTTGAAATCGTTGATTTTCTTCTTCAACTCTTCGATTTCATGCTTTAATATCACATTCTCCTGCTTCAGACGAATGTTATCTTGAAGAGTGTCTCCCAATACCTTCTCGTAAGCTTTTTGTAGACCATCTGTCACAATTTGATGCTCTGCCGACCCGTTTCGAAGCAGCTTCTTTGAGGTGGAAGATACAGATTGTGGTGAGTCGGCAAGTTTCCGTTTCTTGTTCTCCAGTGATGAGCTCATTTGTAGCACGGGCGCTACAGCAGATAATTCAGGGGAACGAGGCGTATTTTGATGCCGCTCAGCTGTATCATCGAGAGTAACCCCCTTATCCTGTGACTCAAGTGCCACGTGCAGTGCAGGTGGATCCTCAGGCTTTCCAGAATCAATAGCATTTAATGCGTCGAAGCTGTTAGGCATTATAGGATGACCGCTTGCTAGGTTCATCGAGTTCGAAGACGTGGCGGGAAGACTTGGCTGAGCGGGTAAAGCAAGCTGAACTGTGCCAGCTTCTTCTACGAGCACGGGATTACCATGCTCACTCTGACCATGCTGAGGTGGTTTATATTGTTCATGCTGACCAGTGACAAGATGCAGGTCATCTTTTGGATGCTTTTGTCGAAGATGCGAAGCCAAACTCTCCCTATAGCTATATGCCTTGTTGCAGTTTGGACAAGAATAGAGGGCTTTCTTCACGCCATCAGGGTGCCGGTCTCTCAGATGCCTAATATAACCTTGTTGAGTCTCAAAGTTTTTGTTGCAAACCTTGCAGCGGAATGGGCGATCATCAGGTTCGTTGTGTATATTGATTAGATGTGCCTTCCAAGGTCCCCTCTTCTTATAGACCAAGCCACAGTGCGAACACTTCCATAGGCCATCTATAATGGCATGAGCTTCTTTGCGATGGGCTTTTAGGCTCGTCTCCAGCTCCCAGGGCCCAGCGTTACAATCAGAACAGGCGAACACCTGCTTGGCACAAGCTGTACTGTTTGATGCACATTTGGTCAGCGCATTTGAAAGTGTACCACGCGTGTATTGAAGGTACTACTCTGCATGATACGTACTCCAATATATCTGGGGTCTCAATGCTCTCCATCACGTGGCCCAGTACTCCCTCGGATTTGACTGGTGAGGAGGTCTCCATCGGATCGTAAATTTAGTTTGGTATGTGGGTGACCCTGTCAAGTAAGGAAAATGATTTGTCGACTTTGCCCGAGTACCAATACCGATGGGGGATGTGAGAGGAATTGACAGTATACGAGATAAATGCTTGAGACAGAAGCTTTAGAGGGAGATTGACGTTCTATTTCAGGAACGCGGCTTCCTCTCAAGGAGGAGGGAAGAGCGAGTACGTCTGGCAGCTTCGCTGTGCCTTCAAAATGAAAGATTAGTTTTCAAACTCTGTGACCAGCCTTTGAAATGAACCTGACTCCCGTTTTGACTGTGATATGTTGTGTTTCCGGCAAATTATCAGTATTTCATAGGTACCGGCAAAGGTAAGAGTTGCCGACTGATGTATATGATCGAGGATTTCCTGTTATAGCCGGACTTTTTTTGGAAGCTGTGAAAGGATATAAGGTAAGTTAAAAGCCATATTTGCCAGCATTCAATGTGATTTGAGGTTATGATTCATTGGCCCCCATATCCCCTACATAGAAACCTTTAGGGTTCACTACAGAGTGCTAATTTCGATTAGTCGGCGTATTGCATGATGGATTTATCACATGTGCGAGGCTTTAATTCATGATACTATTCGGACTACACCATTCTATTCTTGATCTATCTCCCATGGGTGTTTTACTACTTATCCTCAAATCGGAGTAGACATGAAGTTCTAAGGTTGTATAAGAGCACTTAGGCATTCTAACCGTGGTATCATTGAGCTTAGTCAGCTGATAGTTACAAGGGGTTCAAAAATGTGGGGCCGCATGGGCGTGGGGTGTTTGACACGCGGGAAGGTGCAGTGCAAGGTGACACTTACACTACAGAACGCGTCCAGCGCGTCTTTGGTGTCTTTGCATGATCTCATGCGCCCGCATTTCTCCCACCCTGCAACAACCTCATTCTCATGAAGAGCGGGCGAAAATGGACGCTGCAGAAAGAGAATCTTATGAAAAGCAGTCTCAGGATTTACGGGCAGACCTAAAAAGCTGGGAAAGCAAGTGGGCCAAGGAGCACAAAGGAAAGAAACCTGATCGCGAAGCCATCAAGCAAAATCCGGACATTGGTATGCCCCTCCACAGCCTGTATCCATGAGAACATCAATGTAGCAAATCTCTGACTTGTATCCTTGCAGCTCGAAAGTATAAGAATTACAACAAGATACGGGATATTCTCTCTGGCAAGGTGCAACCACCGGGCCCAAAGGATGAGCAGAAACCAAGGAAACGCAAGTCAACCGATCTCCACGCCCAGACGCCCTCGAAGCGCATAAAGACCGCCGAGACACCATCGAATACGCGGTTCCAGAGCAACGCTGCAGAATTAGCCGTTACCCCTTCATTGAGCAGGAAATTGTTCAGTCCAGCAGTTCCGACTTCCATTGGACCTACACCACAACGGGATGGCCGTGTGTTAGGGCTCTTCGACCTCCTCGGCGGCGCCGATGCGGAGACCCCGTCTAAGGGAGCCGGCAATCAAGATACGAATTCATTTGCTCAAATACAAGCCACTCCTAGCAAGTCAGCATCTGGACTCGACGCCGACAGCACAATTAAGCTGGGTCGAACACCTCAATCGTCCAGCAAGCAGCGTATGTTGGATGGATTCATGACACCTCTCAAGAAACGAGATGAATACACAGCCGGCAAATCACCCAGCTCAGTGTCACGACTACAGTTTGCCACGCCTGCATTCCTAAGAAGAGCGCCCATGCCACCGGTGGACGAAAATGGAGAGTTCAAGTCGCCAAATCCTATTCGCCTTCCCCGAAAACCACTCGTACGGGGACTGAGCAGCATCGTGGCTAGCCTACGCAAAGTCGAAGAGGAGCAATTGGACGATGACTTGGAGGCGCTACACGAGATGGAGAATGAGGCTGCTTCAGGAGCGCCCAAGCCCGAACCGAAGTCGAAACCAACGGAGGAGGATGTCCTCGTAGAGGACAGTCAAGCACCAAATATGCTCCTGGGAGGTTTCGATGATGAGGCTATGTATGACAGCCCCGTGGAGGACGATGTCGACCGCAATGGGCAGCCACTTAGGGTGTTCAAGAAAAAGGGGCAGAAACGAACCACTCGGCTGGTCAAGATGCGGCCCACAAGATCAAAACGACCAACTCAGACAATGGAAGAAGCCGAGGAGAGCGAAAATGAGGAGAATGTCGTTCCAGAAACGCAAATTGATGGAACGAAGGATGGTGCAAATGAGGACTCCATTCTACAGCTGTCAGACTCGGATTTCGGTGGCTCGGATGATGAAGAACAAGATGATGATCACGTAGCCAAGAAAAGAAAGACCAAGAAGAGTCAAACAAAGCCAGAGATCAAGGAAGGGCCAATCAAGAAGGCAGCTAGGAAGGTCAATGCCATGGCACACGCGAATTTCAGAAGGCTGAAGCTACGCAATAACGGAGCGAAGGGTGGTCCAGGCTATAATAGCAGGTTCCGGAGGCGGAGGTGAAGGGACTGCCCGCTCCAGCTACAGTACTTGTATCAGATGATAGTCATTGCCAAGAGATATATAACTTACTCCTGGCATTCTCGGGAAATGTTGCAAGAGTGAAACATTCTGCCATGACGTGTATCCAATATGTTTTACGCTTCGTTTAAGGCGATCAATACATCACGTCAGTCCCAGAAGTGTGGAAGAGAACAATCATGCCGACCTTGTTACCCTACAATAAGACGGATTCTGCGCCAGGTCAGCGCAGGGGCTATGAATCGCAAAGGCCTAATACCATACGACAGGCACATCAAGGCGGCACTTCAGCTTCACATTATTTACAACATCAAACTATGACGAGACAAGCTCAACTCATCGCTACTTATAGATATCATCTCTGATTGGATCAGACTCCGTCGATGGATCTCTGGACTTCGGGACAAGCCACGCGTACCTGCATTAAAGATTGTCCCGAAGCCTTGACCAAGCTTCTAGAAGACGAGACCGGCACTCAAGAGGAGCCATCTGATAGGGAAGGTCACTCACTAATTGAGTAGATTGATATCGACCTCTAAAATATGCTCTATCCTGAGACTTTCTTAGCGATGACATTTTTAACAAGTGCCTTGTCGTGAGTTTTCCCATAAGGAAGCAAAGTCACCACCAGCCATGGTGCTGCTAAAGCTAAAGGCACATCATTATCATGCGAACTTCATGCCTTCGAAGACTTGTTTATTTGAACGTGGCCATCACGTCGAAACTTTTTCTGCCACTTTGTTTCCGGGCTCAATTCGAAGCCCCGACATCAATTTTGTTCAAGAGAAGTCCCGATGTACTGCCACAGCCACAAAGTCATTTGTGGCCAGTGCTGTCCAGAAAGAGAGAAACGTGGGCGTTTCCAGGCTTGTGATTGGTTGGTTGCTTAGAGCCTTGACTCGACGCCAGCACCTGCGGCCAAGAGCTTCCTGGTCCAAAAGTCAGTCTCCCAGTACATCTTGGCATACCAGCCATGAATCATTTGAAACCAAATCGAGAATATTTTGCCAAATTGCTCTTCATAACAGGAGTCTATGATTATGTTTGATGGGAAAGAAGAACCTCCAATTCAGATATGCTTTTCAGGCGATTCCTTTGAATTAAGGCAATGATGTCTAGATAGACTTGCAACGAGAGAGCGCCGTAAGCCACAAGAGGGAGGGCTAGAATGTATCCTTAAGCCAAGGCCGGTACATACCTAGCGGGGAATTGAATCTAGATCCGCTCCCAGAAATCAAGCTCGCCCACTACAGCGAATGAGAACGTCATATTCTGGTGGGAGACGCAAGGCCCCGAAAAGACTGACCGAGGGGCAAAGAGAGATCTGGAGTAGGACGGCTCTAGCAGTAGTGCTATGCAAGCCGACTGGATCTGAGGATCCATACAACGGCCCAGCATCCCAATGTGGTATGAGGTAGCGTGCTCACTTGCTCAGTTTGTACAATTGACCAATCCCAAGGCCACCATGCGGACGACACGCGCAACATCCTCTGCTTCACAGATCACTGAGTGCCAGGATGGCGCTGGCGGTTGTCTCCACCACATCTTGGCAAATGCTTCTCTGTAGTTATCCTTCTCTGTGCTCGCGTGACCGGTTTCCCTGTCTGTCTGCAAAGTAAGAGGCACCGCCAGTCGCCCAAGACTATACTTTCTCGCGGGGACGGGGTACTACTTGGACAAGAAATATAAAACCCCCTCTTCTTCGCTCCATCCTCTTTCTTGTCCGTCTGTCTTCCCCTCAGTCGCCTTCTTTTTCCAATTGCATACCCTGGTGCTGACCAAAGAGTGTTCAAAGATGGCGTCCAGCTCAGGTATCCTTCAGACCCCTCAGGTCGAGTCTAGCCAGACCAACCCGGCTATGTCGAAGGAGGAATCTCAATTCCTAACCAGCCAGGTGGAGATCAAGCAGAACATGACCTCTGGTGGAAATGCTGCTTTCCACAACTTCAAGTAAGCATCTTTGCACTGTTTCATTTCAAACACTGATAGCTAACGTCGAACCAGCAACGACTTTGCCCATGTCGCTGATGCCAATGTACGTCGACGACTTGCTCTCGCCGAGATCGACAAGGCCCCTTTTGGCTGGTACCATGTTAGGGCCATCGCCGTCGCAGGAATCGGCTTCTTCACAGACTCATACGACATCTTTGCCATTGGTCTGGTCACCTCGATGATCGGTATCGTATACTTCGGCGGCCACATTTCCTCAGATCATGACACAGCTATCAAAGTCGCCACCTCCTCAGGAACCGTTGTCGGCCAGGTCGGCTTCGGAATCCTTGCTGATATCGTTGGACGCAAGCGCATGTATGGTCTGGAGCTGATGGTCATCATCTTCGCGACGCTGGCTCAGTCACTGTCCTCCCAATCCCCTGGCATGAGTATTATTGGTCTCATTGTCTTCTGGAGAATCATCATGGGCATTGGTATTGGGTATGTTTGGCTCTTCAAAACGCCTTTTTCAAGCAAGATGCTAATGGCTTTTGAACAGCGGAGACTATCCTTTGAGCGCGATCATCACATCCGAGTTTGCAACGACGAAGTGGAGAGGCTTCATGATGAATGCCGTCTTCGCAATGCAGGGACTGGGCCAATTGGCTGCTGGTCTGATGCTGTTGATCGTCACAACTGGTTTCAAGGAGTCTTTGTCTGTGTCCGCCACGGCGTCAGAATGCTCAACCAACACTGTTTGTGTGACGGCTATCGACAAGATGTGGCGAACCATTGTAGGCTTTGGCGCTGTCCCCGGTGCAATTGCCCTCTACTGTAAGTCGTGACCTTCATTGTCTTGATAGTATAATCCACTGACAATTTGTAGTTCGCTTGACCATCCCGGAAACTCCTCGATATACTTTCGACGTTGCTCAAGATGTTCAGAAAGGAGCTGAAGATGTTGACACATATAGAAAGGGCAAATGGGGCGAGGGCAAGGTCGACGAGCTGTCTCGAGCTCAGTCCAAGATCCAGTCCAAGGAGGAGCTTACCGTTCCCAAGGCATCATGGAAGGATTTCTCAGTCCATTACCGGAAATGGAAGAACCTCAAAGTCCTCCTTGGCTGTGCTCTCTCCTGGTTCTTCTTGGTAAGTCTCATATCGCAGGAGCCTCTTTTCCCTCTCAGACCACAGCTAACAGTCAGCAGGATATTGCTTTCTATGGTCTCGGTTTGAACAACGCCATCATTCTCAACACAATCGGCTGGTCCGGTGGCAAGGATGTCTACCACATCTATCACAACACCGCCGTTGGTAATCTCATCCTGGTGCTAGCTGGAGCCGTCCCGGGCTACTGGGTGTCTGCTGCCCTTGTCGACACTATCGGCCGCAAGCCGATCCAGATTTTCGGCTTCTTCACGCTGACACTGCTCTTTTGCGTGATCGGTTTCGACTTTTGGAATCTGTCCGGCGGTGCTCTGATGGCGCTGTACACATTGGCTCAGTTCTTCTTCAATGCCGGGCCGAACTCCACCACCTTCATCGTTCCTGGAGAGTGCTTCCCCACTCGCTACCGATCCACTTCGCATGGCATATCCGCTGCTTCTGGCAAGATGGGTGCGATCATAGCTCAGGTCGTATTCGGACCTCTCAAGACGATCGGTGCCGACTCAGTCAGGGCTAAGACGGACCCGCGATATAGTGCTCCCTGGATCTCAAACATTATGAAGATCTTCGCTTTGTTCATGCTTTGCGGTTTCTTCACTTCTTTCCTTATTCCCGAGACGGCGCGCAAGACGCTCGAGGAGCTTGGCGGCGAGGATGAGGATGTTGAGCTTGTCCGGGCATCAACCCCGACGAGCTCTGAGAGAATGGCTGAAGAGGGCAAGGCGTAGGCATGAAGCCATCCTTTTGTTGTTTAATGTTTATGGTTCTTGATGTTGATTCGGGTGGGAGAGGAACCCAAAAGTCATAGATCTTTGTGCATGGCTGTGACCTAGAGTACAGCACAGATACCCCCATATAGACGACTTAACGTTGCACGGAATGAATATACATGATCAATCCATGCCAAGCCCCTGAAAGAGGATTGATTCTTACAAGATTATTTGTGATCAAGTTTGAAAATGACTAAAACCACTGCTATCATGCCATATGTATATATTCTGCAGGCTCGAGGTCTAGGGGAGGCGGAGGTTGGTTCGAGGATTTGAAGGTTGACTCTCCCTGAAAAGAAGCCATGTCCAGCAATGGTATCGATTCCAGGGCTGTCTTGGCGCGATGACGTTGCCTGGTGGGCGGGTCAGGGACCTGTCAGTGCCGTGAGCCGTGATCAGTGCCCCGCCAACATCCGGAAGCTCCCTCCTCCAACTCAGCAGCACGGAATAACGACAATACCGCCAAGATGGCCTCATTCTTGCGAGGAAAGCAGGCGGGGATGCAAAAGGACCTGTCTGCAGATATCCTTCCCCATTTATTTGCCCCAGATGAGCAGATCCGATATGGCATCAATTCACAGATCAGGTACACGCGTCCGTTCCTTGGCGGGGCTGTCCTTGAGCTCTTGGGCAGCCAAAAGCTAACTTGGATCTCTGGATAGTTGTATGGCCTATGAGCCAGTCCAATCCCTCCTCGCCGTCGGGACAAACGAGTCGAAATATGGCAACGGAAAGGTTTACATCTTCGGGCAGAGCAGAGTCCAAAAATTCGTCCAGCCATCCCGACAAGCATCCATCCGAGACATCCAGTTTTGCGCGAACCGCCTTATAACCTTGGACTCCAAGAGCGAGATTACAATTTGGAACCTCGATACGGCCGAGCGTATTGCGGGCTATGTTTGCCCAGGCGCAGTCGTGACCATGGTCACCGATCCAATGCTTGACTGGGCGCTGCTTGGACTGTCGAACGGCGATGTCATGGCTTATGACCTGGACCGGGAGAGATTGTCACCCTTCAGAATCCCTAACTTCTGGAGGCAGAAGGATTCTAAGGCTAAGATGCCGACACTGGTGTCAATGCAGCTGCATCCTCGGGACATCGGGAAGTTGCTGATTGGGTACACCACCGGCGCCGTTGTATACTCATTCAAGCAGAATGCGCCCCAGAAATTCTTCGAATACGTACTACAGCCAGGGGCTCCTGGCGGCAATGGAGAGTCTGTAGACTCGCTGCGCAAGCCGCGACTCTCTCATGCTCTGTGGCATCCTACAGGAACATTTATTCTCACAGCCCACGATGATGGAAGTCTAGTGTTCTGGGATCCCAAGGATGGTCGAATTGTTCAGGCCAGGTCGCTGTACAAAACGAAAGTCGACCAGGTCTCAGGTGATCCAGGGATAGCCACTTTCATCAACCCATATATCAAGATTGCGTGGTGCTGCAAGGAGAATCCAGATGACACGGCACTATTGATTGCCGGAGGACAGTCAGTCGACGATCAGCAGAGAGGACTTACATTTCTTGAACTGGGTCAAACACCAGTATATGCAACGTCCTCTTGGCAAATTCTGACCGATCATTTCAATGGGAAGCGTCGAAACACATTGCAGACGCCCGCTGGGGCGGAAGTATTGAATTATTGTTTAATTCCCCGTCTCTCGCCACATTTCGCTGGCGCTCAAGATCCGATTGCTATTATCTCGCTACTCACATCTGGCGAGCTGATCACCATGAGCTTCCCATCTGGGTATCCGATCAGCCCTACAAATCAACTCCATCCTTCGCTATCCTTTGTACACCCGTTCGTTACAAAAGTCGTTATTTCGACGTTAGACCGAGGCCGTTGGCTCGGCATGACAGAGAAGCGAAATCAAGGAGAGCTCCTTCTCAAAGGAGGTGCCGAAGCACCTAAACCTCGAAGGAGATACGAAGGCCGAAACATCGTGCAAGCTGCGCATGCAGATAGTACCATTCGAATCTGGGACTTGGGACATGGTGACGAGATGGAGAATCCCACCCAACTACAAGTAGACATCGCCAGGGCTCTTGGCAGGTATGAAGATGTTGACATCACTGCAATGCATATGGCTCCAAACACTGGCGAGTTTGCTGCGGGCACGAGAGCTGGTGAGGTGGTTATCTACAGATGGGGAGGAAACAAGTTCTTCGGGCGTGACGAGCCAAAAGAAATCGTGCCAAACCCTGGCGGTCTGACAGATATCAGCTCGAGATCAGAGCCGTCATTGAAAGAAGGTTTGCAGCCGTTCGTTGCATACGAGATGATGCAAGGACCAATTAGTGCTGTGACAGTCTCAGATGTTGGCTTCGTCGGTGTGGGCTCCGAAGGGGGCTTCTTCAGTCTGATCGATCTTCGAGGTCCTTCAGTCATCTTCCAGGCTTCGACGACGGAGTTCGCAAAACAAGAGAAGAGATCGTCGTTCATTCGCGGTCACAGCTCGAGTGCATCTGCATCATCAAAGGAATGGCCTGTCGTCATCGAGTTCGGCGTGATGACTCTTGAGGGTGATAACTATTCCAGCATCGCCTGCTTCGTCGGCACGAATAGGGGCAACGTGGCGACTTTCAAACTGCTCCCATCAGGGAGCAGCTACTCTGTCAAATTAGCAGGGGTAGCGCATCTGAATGACCAAGTGGTAGCGATATGCCCGATAGTTGCGGACAGCGGCCATCCTGCAGCAGCGACTGGGCAAGTGGTGGCAGGGTTGCGAAATGGACAACAGGTCAATGGCACACTTGTCGTCGGTAAGTTTCAACATATCTCAACAACAGAATTGGTCTTAACATCGTCATAGTCACCCAGTCAGAAATTCGCATTTTCAAACCTGCGACTGCAAAGGGGGCATCAAAATCTTTTGATGACGTTCTCTGCGATGCAGCTGCGATTACCGAGTTTGAGCTCCACGGATTCGCTCTTGTTGGTGCTTTTGGTGACCGTACAACCCGAGCGTTCACCCTTCCAGGACTAAAGGAGATCAATAGAGTTCCCCTCAACATGCTGGACGCCTCTCGAAGCACAAACACGATTGTCGCGTCTACCGGTGACGTGGTTGGCTGGGCTGGCCCGAGTGAACTTGTTGTCATTCCCGTTTGGGGCACAGGCAAGGGTCTTCAGAACACAGATGACAAGCTCATCAATCCGGAGTTATTGATACCTGCACGGCCAACAATTTCGAATATGCAATGGATCTCCGGGACCCAGTACGTCTCGCCAATGGACCTAGATTTGCTTATCGGCGGACCAGATCGGCCCCCGAGTAAGCGAATGATTGAAGCCGCTGCCGTGGAGGCTAGAATGGCCCGAGCGGGTGGTACAACGAGCCCAAGAGCCGGCACTAGTCAAGAAGGCTGGGGCGAATACCTCCAGAGGCAGATTAACGAGCGGACAGAGAAGCTGAACCTGATGGGCGACAACATGGATGATCTTCAGGAACAGAGCCAGGGCTGGGCAGACGATGTCAATAAATATATCGGCAAGCAGAAGAGAAACCTTGTGCTTGGCAGTATCAAGGGGAAGTTCTTCTGAACTTGTCAAAAAATTTAGAGTTAGGGGTATTTTGACGGGTTTCGTAGGCGTCATGGGCTGGGATATCCACTATCTTTTTGAAAGATGCCATGTTGGTACCTTGGCAAAAATTTACTTCTTTACTTGGGAGGTGATGCTTCGCCGACTTCTGTGATCCAGGTCACTTCGCTGCAGATCAGTATTGACCTTTAGGAATTAGCCGGAGGATATACCGGATTGCCAACTGGCCATGTTCTCTGATTCGGGATGTCACCCTTGAAAACGATAGGGACGGTACTCCCCTCGCTGATCTTCAATGAGGCTAAAGCCTTTCCACATACCCTACCATATCTACCCGCAGCCCGTAGACAGCGTGGAGCGGAGGGCTTTGGCCCGTTGAAGAAAACTGATGACATCCGCTCGGCAACCAAGCAGGCGCAGTGCTGCAGGCGTGGACCGAATCAATATAACTTATATTCAGAGGATATTTCGGGAGTTTTTCGATGCAAGGCATATAGTTAGTAATAAATGCTACACCTCCCAGAAAGTCATGTTCACATCATCAGAACTTCTGTGTTGCAAATATGCGTCGTCCAAGTGCCCAGCTCATTTTGACGGCTCTCGTTGCAGTCGTCCAAGCAGCACCACCCGCTGGCTTTGGCTATCCATCCCCGTGGGCGAGCGGTGGTGATGGCTGGGATGAGGCGTACGCGAAAGCAAAGGATTTTGTGAGCCAGCTGACCCTCGTTGAAAAGGTCAACTTGACAACGGGTACCGGATGGGAAGCTGATCGATGCATTGGCATGACTGGCTCAGTGCCACGGCTCGGGTTCAGGGGTTTCTGTCTTGAGGACGGTCCGCTAGGGGTTCGATATAGTGAGCAGTCCGCGCACATGGACGCAGTCTTTGCTATGTAAAATGGTGAAAACTGACGCGATGTAGCGGACGGCAACTCGGCATTCCCAGCTGGTATCAATGTGGCTACGACGTGGAGTCGCGACTTGATGCGCCGAAGGGGGATTGCTATGGGCGAGGAGTTTCACGGGAAAGGCATAGATGTCCAGCTCGGTCCTGCTGCTGGACCTTTGGGTAGAGTTCCTGCCGGAGGACGCAACTGGGAAGGCTTCAGCCCCGATCCCTATCTCAGTGGTGTTGCCATCGCCGAGACGATCAAGGGCATCCAGAGCCGCGGTGTCATTGCTTGTGCTAAGCACTACATACTCAACGAGCAGGAGCATTATCGTAATAACATTGACTCGACCATTGACGATAAGACTATGCATGAGCTCTATCTTTGGTGAGTCTTTTTATGGGACGCAGTCCTCAGCACCCCTGACACTCTGATAGGCCCTTTGCCGATGCGGTTAGAGCTGGTGTGGGCTCATTCATGTGTTCGTACAACAAGATCAATACCAAGTACAGCTGCGAGAATGAGTGGACTACGAATTACTTACTCAAAAATGAGTTAAACTTCCAAGGGTTTGGTGAGAGAATCATTGCTTGTATGTGAGAAGAGAACTAATTTGACCAGTTATGTCGGATTGGGGTGCTCAGCACGCAACTGGAGCATCTGCCCTCGCCGGACTCGACATGGCAATGCCAGGTGATGGCGCAAGAAATGCGTACAACTCATTGTGGGGTGGTGCTTTGACGGAAGCAATTCTCGCGGGTAGTATCCCGCGCTGGCGGCTTGACGATATGGTGATTAGGATTATGGCGGCATACTACAAGGTCCATGTGGGAAACTACACGGAGCGGCCAGATATCAACTTTTCAGCCTGGACGAACCAGACCACCGGGTATCTATATCAGTCTGCAAAACAAGGGTCAACGGTAGTCAACGAGCACATCGACGTACAATCAGACCACGCAAAGCTCATTCGAGAGATCGGCGCAAAATCGATTGTCCTGCTGAAGAACGTGAACGGCACGTTACCCCTGAACAAGCCGAAGAGCATTGCCATTATTGGAGAAGATGCTCAGGATAACCCTGGAGGCCCCAACTCTTGCCCAGACCGTAATTGCAATAAAGGGACGCTAGCAATGGCTTATGGCTCTGGAACGGCTGACTTTCCCTATCTGATTTCGCCCGCTACTGCACTCAAAGCACAGGCAGACGCCGACAATACAACCTTTGTTAATATCAAAGGCAACTGGGATCTCGACGCTGCAAAGTCCGCGGCAGCTGTGACTGAAGCTGCAATCGTGTTTGCGAATGCCGATGCCGGCGAGAACTTTATTACTATTGATGGGAATGCCGGAGACAGAAATAACTTGACCCTCTGGAACGGCGGCGATGAGGTATGTGATCGAAGGAGGCAGCTCGGCGAATGCCGGTGTGAGCCCAGTTGATTTCTTATACACAATAAAAGCTAACTCTAGACATAACAGCTAATCAAGGCCGTTGCCTCTGTCAATCCAAATACCATAGTGGTCCTTCACACCGTGGGGCCCGTCCTCATAGAATATGCCAAGAATCATCCGAATATCACCGCTATTCTATGGGCAGGTCTCCCAGGCCAGGAGTCCGGCAACTCACTAACTGATGTCCTCTACGGCAAGGTGAATCCTCAGGGCAAGTCTGTTTTCACGTGGGGCAAGTCGGTGGAAGACTACGGCACCCAACTGATGTACCGGTCGCCGACCGCACAGCCAGTGCAGAACTTCACAGAAGGTGTCTTCATCGATTACCGCTGGTTCCAGAACGCAAGCATAGAGTCGGTTTACGAGTTTGGCCATGGTTTGAGTTACACGCGCTTCATGTATCACAACTTGACCATCACCGTGCACAACGACACGACTTACAAGCCTGCCACAGGCGTCACGGAGCCGGCTCCCACTTTTGGCACTATCGATACCAGTGCTGCAAGTAACACAATGCCGGCTGGGTTCAAAAAGATAACGCCTTATGTCTACCCCTGGATTACAGGTACTAGCACCGGCGGATCAACAGCTGGAGCGGCGCCAGCCGGGAGCACCAACAGTTCAGCTCAGCCCTTGTTACCAGCTAGTGGAGCCCCAGGAGGAAATGCTGGATTGTACGATGTCCTCTATACAGTCACAGCTGCTATTGAGAACACAGGTAAAGTTGCGGGAACGGATATACCACAGCTGGTAAGTTACAAATATACCTTGTCCCAGTCTAAACGGTGACTAATATTCATTCAACAGTATGTTCAGCACGGCGGACCTAATGAGCCGTGGGGCGTCCTCAGGGGGTTCGACGAAGTATATCTAGAGCCCGGCCAAGTCAAGAATGTAGCTTTCAACCTGACACGCCGAGACATTAGTAATTGGGACACGAATGCCCAGGACTGGGAGGTCACTGTCTACGACAAGTTCGTGTTCATTGGGTACAGCTCGACAGAAATCGGGCTGAACGCATCATTGCCCCGGTTAAGTTAGGTTCGATATCACCAAAATGTTATCATATCAAGCCAAATCAGTCATATCTTCTAAATAGGTCAAGGAATTTGAAGCCAGTTCATTGTTATTGCTATGAAAATTCTCTTCAAAGAAGCGCACTAACACCCACTGGCTCGGCGCCAGTGTCAACATTCAACTTAACCTAATCATCCAGGCTTACCTCGTCAAACTTCGCGGCGTTGGGAGACATCGCGGGAAGAGACCTGGCACCGGGCGAGGTCACTGTGTTTGTCTGCTGCCGTAAATAGCCGGTGTACGATCTCCGATGATCAACATCTCGATCGACGGTAAAGTTGTCACGAGAAACGACTTTAGGGCTTGCAGGATGAGCTGTTGGCTGAAGGAGAGGAGATGTCAATGGAGATCTTTCACCGTCTTTGCCACGAGGAGACGCTATCGGAGCGCCGCACACCTCGTCGATAAAGTACAGAGGATCTCGCTGGTCTCGAGAGAAACCAGAGGTTGGGGAGATGGCGGTGTAGGCACTGTTACTCTCCTCAAAAGGGTCTTCAACCACTTCGATGCTCCCAGCTTCGCTCTGCGCGACGGTCTGGTGTCTGATGTGGATAGGACGTCGCCGCATATCACCGTTTCGGGCGGATCGAGACAGGCGAAGGGTCGAACGCTCAATACTTTGTACAAAGGCAGGGACGGGTTTTCTGCGGATCGGGCCAAGTGCGATATCTTTCTCCTTACCTTTGTCCATTGTCCGCGGGGACATCGCAGTCGGGGAAGGCGGGTGGGACGCAGACGGCGATGCGAGGTTTGACGCATTCTGCCTACGAAAAGCGTGAAGGGCTTCCAGCTTCTCCTCTTCAGCAGCCTCAAGTCGGAAACTCAACCCTACACATTCTCGCTTTAGGTCTTGCAGTGTTTGTGTAGAAATTTTGAGGCGATCCTTTAGGTTAGCATTCTCGCTCTGGGAGGCTTCGAGCTTCGCTTTGAGGGCTGGCAGACTCCGCGCTTCATATTCGCGAAGGACAATACCATCTTGGCCTGTGATGCATTCTTCACCGTTGAATCTGCGGAAATCGATCTGGAGGTGTCGAATCTGCCTGCACTTGATTGCGTAGCTGCGTCCCAAGGCTAGCATGATGCCGATACAGAGGGCAGAAAACCCAGCCAAGACGACGCATATTCTCATCCACTTCTCGGCTTCTTCGCTTGAATTCGAGCTCGGAACTGCGGAGGCGGACTGGCGTGGGAGGAGTGGTTCATGGAACGGGGCCATGGCGTGGGAACTTCGTGTGCGATGGTTGGTCGTCGTACAAAACAGAAATCACTTACCTTTTGTGAAGATGACTATATCTTCCTAGGGGAGCTTGATGACTCAGATTCAAGTCCGTTGCCTAAGTCGGGGATGAAGAGACGAGAAATTATGAGGATATTGGACTGAAGAGATGCAAGTTTTAATAGTACATGCTAGAAAAAAATGGCTTTGTGAGTGTTCGACTGTCGAACAAAGGAGGCGCCATTAAGCTCCATAACAAAGTTCACAGATTGAACACAAAGTCAGGCAGTATGACAGATAGACAAGAATATTGTTGTGGAACAAAGACCTCGTTCCATTCAAGGAACCAACTGTGTGCGAACAATGATTGCGATACAGGTGGCGGGCTGCTACAGACCGGTTTCCCTGGCCGAGGCGTAAAATAGGGGTAGTCACTTGAAAGAGTTGGCTGGGGAGTCTATGGGGAGCATTTTTTGTAACTTCATAAAGGGGCTCCATGCGTACTCAGCAATGGCCTCGCTCCCCGACAACTTCGGCGTCCGAATTATCGACAACGGGCTGGCCGTGTTCATTAGTAATCGATCAGATTGTAACAGTACTGTGCGAAAGTGCCGAGGTCGTCAGATGCCTGCCTGCAGGAGGCAGCTGTCAAGTTACCGATTGGATCTGACAAATAAACCCCGGCCACATCGCTTTCGGTGAATGAGCAGGTGAAGCTCGCAGTGATTGTAGCTCACCGCTTACCTCGCCTAGGAAGGAGACTGTCTGGGCTAGGAGATGTTTGGCGAGACTGGGTACATGAGTCTCTCGCGGTATCAATATTATCATTGCAGCCAATTGGTCGCTCCCTTTCATTGATTTCTTTCGCGATATTACCTCTTGATAGAGTCTCTACTCGGCGTGGGGCTGTAGTTAGCTCAGAATGTGTCGGCTGAGGGCTGGTGATCACAAAGTTTCACCCCGACACGATCCGCCCCTTTTCCTGAGTGATCTCCTAAACATGACGAATGATGTCTGAGTATTGCCTTCGAGCAGATCAACAATCTTTCAGTGCGGGACCTGATGCCTCCTTACAGGCGTAAATCGACGATGACATTGAAGTCTCGGATCGTGAAGCGGTGAGTTCCGGGACTGAAGGATGAGAATGCTGATTCAGGGCTGTGTATGATATAATTTGATAGCCAAATACGGTAGCAATAGTAGAGATATATTAGAGACTAGTCTGGGCCCAAGCCTTTTGCCCAGGTAACGTGTCGGAAGAGACCGAGCTGCTTGGCATCATCATGGACGTTGATTGACAAAAGGATGTGATCGACGCGCAGCTGCAGCCTCTCAGATCTGTCTCATGCGGATGCTGCTGCTCTCGTATTCATATCGTCCGATTTCATTCCCCTGTTGAGCTGTTCCCGTGGTCGGGTAAAGCCCGCCTGTGCTTGTTGTGATGCAATATCCCTGCTTGTCTTCGGTGAAGCAATAGCTGTTACCGTTGTTCTGGGACGCCTTCGACGATCTTTCGCTTATCTCCCTGGCTGAAAAGCTTGACAATGTACGTGATTTAATTCCCGGTGGCTTCGTGGCTGCCGAAGACGTCTTGGTACACATCAAAAGCTTTTCCGGATATGGTGTTGTTTACGGCTAGCCATCAATGCGAAGCTTTGGCTGGTGAAGTGCTCGCTTCGCAATTCGCTGTAGCATTCTTAGGTCCACGAATCAAATGCTAACCTCGGAAATGCTCTTGAGGCTATTTTTCACTTCGGTAATCATGGGTCTAGACGGCGGTCGTCGTTACGCGTTTCAAGACAGTGGATTTGGCGGTGAACCCGTAGTGACGTTGGGGGCGGGATGTCCTTAGGGTTGCATTTCTGGCTGCCAGAACAAGCCCAATGATTAAGCCTACTTGACCATACTTGGGAATGATTCGACGCCTCCTTGCGCCGCCATTCGCGATTCTTACCCCTGCAAGGCAAGATGCCCGTTCGTCTCGGAGCAGTAGGAGCTTAGTACGCATAATTACCCCGACAACACCTCCGCACCGCGCTGCAGCCCGTCTGCAGCTTCCGTATCTCGGTCCCAGCCAGCTGGTCTGGTCCAGTCGGTATAGTGTGGCATCACATAGTTGAATGAAGACATGACCGGGATTGATTATGCTGAGCGTGCAGGTCAAAATTTCCCAGCCGTCCTTCTCGGCTGCTGTGCATTATGAGTGGCTCTGAAACGTATCAGGAAGGAAACTCTGACGGAGTCATTCAGCCTCACCAGTACAGCGCCCTGAAGCCGACGCTGAGTGCAACCAACAGTCGGTATGGTTGCATCTGTAAAAGGAAGGTAAGAAAGATATCGGGGCCGGCAACGGATCGGCAAAAGTGGGCCTTCCACGTGGTTTTGGGGTCCGGCGCCTGGGAAGGCTAGCCTCTGGGCAAGCGGTGCTTCGTGGTGGAGGGGGGGTGGGTGGATGACAGGGTGGCGGCTTGTGTCATGGATCTTGTCGAATTGTTGCTGCTGGGGTTCCAGGAACCCGTGTCACAAGCGCGTGGATAGGGTCAAGGAGCCAGGGTCGAAGTCAATCTGACCACCACCCTATTGCCCGCGCGCTGAATGACAGGGCTAGGGCAGAGCATGGAGAGTAGGGTGGAAACATGAATGGAAACACCACTTCCCAGACGACTGAATTCTTTTTGGAATTAAGCGCGTCAAACGTGCCGTTTGGAGTGTGGCCTCTGCCAGCCCAATTCAGCAAAAACCGGTTGCGGGTGGACACTCCGGCTTCCAAATGCTGACATGTTTCACAAGCCTGATGCAATCCTTGCTCACCAGGTCGGTAGTGAATGGGCAAGGAGGAATGGAAGACCGCCGGGTGACTAAGATGCCGTATCTAGAACGGCCAGGGATGGGGCGGCGTAGACGAAGTGTTGAGTGTTGTTGATGGCTACCGCCGGGAGGGAGCGATGCAGCATAGGTCACCTCGTGGATCTTGCAACCGGTCAATTGATCATTCGTGTTTGCCGGGGCACACGCCTTCACTTCATGGTGTGCTTCACCTTGTTGCGCCGGTTGGCCGGGCTGCTCTTGCCCCGTATGGTCTACCTCAGGCACTTCCCAATTCGGCCAACTTGCAGCCCGCTGTCTTCGGGGCGATTTCACCCACCCTCCTCCACCTTAGCCTACAGCTTTGCCCATGCCATAGGTATATTAGAGGAGGTGTCAGGGGAGTGATCATGTTCATGTTCATGGGTCCTTGCAGCTTGAGCGAGGTTGGATCGTGGGCCGCGTCATTTGCTCTCTTGAGACACGATCCAGGTCGCACAGAAGGTGCTGCAGTGCGCAGATGGGCCGAGATGTACATGTACATGTACCCAGGGGCAGGTAGGAACATCTACATGTACCATGTACCAGACAAAACGGGCGTCGACATTTTCAGGGACGGCAGGTACGACTCAATGCTGCCAAGGGTTACAGTAGATACTCCGAATAAAAGATTAAAATTATATAAAGATTAGATTTAACGTTAGCTTGCCTCTCAGGAAGTCGTCATGGCTCTAGCGCGTCGCACTATCTTCTACCGGGGAGGCACGACCCGGGTCTGGTGACTGAGTTTAGTGGGCTTTTATGACAACCTTGAGGCCCTGAAGCCGGGCTGATCCAGGCACCGGCCCACTGACAGCTTCTGCATCCTCACCTATCACTAGCTGGCGTGGCTCGCGTGGGTAGGTATCATCCCAGATACCTGCACGTCAGCGGAGCAGGGATT